ATTATAAATGAATGTTGGGTCACTGATGCTAAAATTGTAACAGTGAGCTTCAGACACAGACATTAACTGTGAGAAACAGGAGATTTAAAAGAACAAACTGTCCTTAAACAAAGTTGAAGATAAAGGCCCTGCTGACTGTGGGCTTGTTACTCAGTGTGTTTTTCAGTAGGAATTGTTACCTTCAAGGATAAAGGCATAGAATCCCAAGGAAGGAGGCACCCATAGGAAGGTTACAACATTTTACACTGAAAAGGAGAAATGAAACAGAACTCACGGGAGAAAGAATGAGGTGGTCTATCAGTTATCTAATTGGCTTTTTAATTTTAGCACTTCTTTGATATTGCTGCTTGTGAATATTATTTCATTCAGTGGATCATGGATTTCTTTCAGAATAGCAGCACATGAAACCTCTCGAGTAAATGGAGATCCATGATAGGGAGCTGTGAAATTAACAGAACAACAAGCCTATTTGTTAGTAAATGTTGCTGTGCAGGAGCAGCACCTCCACCCAAGAATTTTTAGATGGTACAAAACCTAAAAGTGATGAAAAACAGTCCTCTAATCTCACTGTATTGTATATATTATATTGTTCAGAAATCAAAAATCAAATCTGTAATTGCATGTTTTAATGATTATTTTTAGATGTTTCAGTTTGGAGATTTAAATACCTGAGTTTGGCAACCCAGTATATATCTGTCTGAATTAGAATGTGTTTGTGTTGAAAAATCAGGGGATTTTATTCTCTAGGAGTTCAGTAGCTCTTGTTTCAACAAAAGTTTCTCTTTTGCATCACAGTAACTTCCAGATTTTGGATAAAATACCTGCTAATTTCACTGTGTGATCTAGCTTTGATTGCATTCAAGATTTGAGCAGACAGTGAGGCTAAATTTCTTCTAGTTGTGATGCATCTAGATTTTTCAGTGTGACACAGAACGGAGGTTGTGTTTGGGCAGTATTATGACTCCTCTTACAGGAAACAGTTAAAAAGGAATTTCTGCACATCTGAAAAACTAGTCAGAAGAGACGAGTTTGTTGTTTTGTCTCTCCTGCCTGATTGTGGATTAGGCTTTGGGCTGTCTGCTTTTAAACATTAGAAGAAACGAGTTCGCTTTGTACAGATAGAAGACAACTCCTACGAAGCTGGGCAATTGGTAGTGACACATCTTCTTGTGGGTATTCTATTCATACTGTTTGTTTTCTAGCATGCAAAACTTAAGCAAAATGTGTCTTTTTAAGAAGTAGTTTTAGTCTATTAGTTAGCTATAATGTCAATTAATGTTTGTTATATCAGGTTTTGTTAACATATCTGTTGTGATTGTTAAGCTTTTCCATAGCAAGCTCTTTTTCTGATTTTCTGTGTAGCAAATGCAGAATTGATGCTGAGAAGTGAGACTGAGAAGCAAGCAGTCTGTTGGTATTACATAAAAAAACATTCTGTTGAGGACAGTGAAGAATGAACCGCTTTATTCTATTCCATAAGAAACCACCTTTGGCATGGTCCCTGAAGGACTTAGAGTTGCAGGGCTACTGAAAAACAGCAGCATTATAAACAGGCTGGTTTTCTGTGATTAAAATTGTGTAGCTAACTGTACATGTTAATATATTCTGTACCACAGGAGTATATGAGGCTTGGCTGGAATGGTCATTAATGCTTACTTTAATCTACGATGTGTGCAAACAGGTTTCATTCACAGTTTTCTTGAACATTTTGTAAAACATCCATTTAAAGGTGTGCTAGATTCTTATGTCTAAGGGAACAAATATTCTTCATGTGTCAAAATGAAACCTCTAAATTCAGATTGCCTTCAGAGTCAAATTATAGAGTTGCACATTTCTTTTTCTTAATTGCTTCTGCTACAGCTGCTGTTTAAGTGCAAAAATACTTGAAAAATGTTGCAAAACAATCTTTCTTTTTCAAATATTGCAAAACAAGTAGGACTGCTCACCAGTTTGGGTGCATTAATGCAGAGCATAAGCTTTGCTCCTCTTGCCAGATTCTGCTGTGTTCTGACAGAAAACTTCTAATAATCTTCTGTAACCAATAAGGACTAATTATTGTTAATGAGTTTTTTTAAATAGTGTTCATAACATAATGCTAAAAAATTCTGTCCAGACTGCACAAACAATTACTAAAATTGGAAATACAGAATACAGAATAATATCCTGGATGTGTCCTTCTGTTTATGAGTCCATACAAACAAGACAGTTTAGAATTACATTTATTTTAGTGCCCAAAAAATTCTGTGAAAGCATTGCTGAAATGGTATCTTGAAAAAAATGTAAATATTAAGCAAATACTTGCTTTGTTTCTGGGTTCACTTACTATTACTTCCTATGATTTTAAAGATGTGTCTTGGTTGTAAGCTAAAAACTTCATGAACTAATTTGAATTAGAGTATACCGTTTCAACCATGCCATGTTTTAATTAGAAATTCACCATTTAAATGTGCATTTAAAGTTGGAGAAGTTCCAAGTTTCTTTTCAAATTTATTGTGTGTTTTGTTTCCTTCTTGCGTTTTAGAGTCAAGATTGGACAGAGAAAAACACATTATAGTCAGGGTAAATGTAATGTGGTGTAGGCTGTTTATATGGTGTTTCTATTAGATTCTGGAATGAGTGCCTTCCACTGTAATAAGCTTTGAAGGTAAAAGTACCCAATAAGATTCTCTAGAAGAGATCTGCTTGTGCTAGGGAAGCTACTAAAAATACATTCTTTCTCTAATTGAGGCTGTCTTCCACCTCCAGAAACAATGAATGGATCCTGTGTCTTGGGTAATATATAGGCTTTAAGCTTTAATGAAAATATGAAGGTTTTTCTTTTAAGTACTGTCAGAGTCCCTCCTAATAGTTTGATGCTTTGGAAGCAAATCTCTGTAAGTAGCATTCCTGGAAGATGAAATTCAAGTGCCATGCCTCAGCATGAGAAAATAAATGCACCCTTGTTTAGTCTGAACTTTGCCTTGATTTTTTTCTAAACAGTCTTAGAGCCACTGCTTTCTACTTTCCTTTCTGCCTTCTTCCTAGTCTCAGAAGATAACTCTCCCATGATAGTGAGAAAAAAATTGTTTCTGTAAACTACCGGTTCTTTTGAATCACAATTAACAGCAATTTGAGTAGTCAGCAACTTCAGCAACTTAGCTTTTAAACAATTGCTAGAATAACTAATTTCATTAATCTTTTCTGTGATTTCTACAATTTTATTGAACAGGATGTATGTGTGACTCTTAGAAAAATACAATCAATAGTATTCATCTTGGGTATCAGCTCCTACTGCACTTGGTATTCAGTACTTAATGCAGTTTCTTAACAATTGCATGAATGTGATACTTAACAGTTTGGAGTTGTTGGAGTTGGCGTATGTTTTGTTTACTTATTTAAGAAAAGGAAAAACCAAATAACTGTGTATACAGCTAAAATGTCTCCTGAACTACAAGGTAGCAGAAAGCTTGTAATTTAAAGTCTTCACCAGTGGTCAATGCTGCTGAAACTGTTAAGTATTTTGGCAGCACAAGGTGAAGTTGTTGGATGTGGAAGAAACTGATTTGGCTTGACTTTTCTATCTTTCCTCTTTATTTATTTGCATATGGACTTGAAATGTTCAGCATGTGGGATAGATTGTTAGAGAACAAAAGGAAAAATATGATGATGCTACTGGATTGCATTTATTGCAATTTGCACCCCTTCTAAAATGGAATAGTGTTTCACATGAGAAATACAAGAGAGCACTTCTGCAGCATGACAAGATTCCCTTTTTCAAATACCTGAGGTTGTCCTCAGCCAACCCATGCAGCTGTAAGCTTCTCCAAGCAAGCTTCTGAGCAACCCTTGCTGAACAGCCTAAATGGGGCGTTCTTATCAACTCATCCTTTACAGTGTTAGGAATGCCAAAGGTGTTAAGAGTCCCTTGTGTATTTTGAATCTTTGTTTATGTACGCTATTTTGAATTTCAGTCAGATTTTGAGTATTTCCAAAGTTGAGAGGCTCCACAACTTCCCTGGGCAACTTGTTGCAGAGTGTCACCACCCTCACTGTGATAAAAAATTCTCTAATATTCTAAAAATAGAAATTTGTGTCTTTTTTCTGTCTAACATTTCAAAGAAGTCAACTAACATAAATAAGAATAGCTACAGGCATGTCCATCTTCATATCATTTGAAAAGTAAGCCAAAAGATTTCTATTTGAAAACAGTAATTATTGCAATGCCTTTTTTGTTCGTAAGTATCATTTATTCCTTTGAAATCTACACAGTCTGTTAGGTTTGTATGAAAGAAAGCCTGTAATATCTATCCCTATTTTAAAACTGAAGACAGACCTTTCTTCTATTGTATTTTGCGTAGTTAGGGGGTTTTAAAAGTTTTTTCAAAGCAAATAATTAACCTGGAAGGTTTACAATTTCCTATTTAAATACTTTGGCATTCTTCTGTCCAATAGGAAATCCTAGTAAAAATAAGGGTACTTTTTTTTTTGTGAGCACTCCTTCTTGGGAAGTTTTGGTTTTCTCTTCTAAGATTTTGGCTTTCGTACCCTGCTGTCTTCAAGAGCATTTTCCCATATTCTGAGGTTTATTTAAATTATTGTTCAGAATGTTTGATACTTTGATTTATTGAGACAAGCGCGATATGCAGAATAATTTGATTTTATAGCAGAACTTATGGCTCCCAACATTTATTTGAGAGTCATAGGATCACTTCTAGTAGAAGAATATAGTTTCTGTAAATCTGTGGAAAAAGCATGGGAGGTTTGCAGAATCCCTTAACCTCTTGAACTTTCCCATGTCATCCTATGAACTCTGAATCTATGGCACTGTTCAAATCTGGAAATGTTTAAAAATGAAAAGCCAAAACCCTGAGCTGCTAGATTTTGTATATAAAACATCTGTGGCTCATGCAGTTTAACAGTCATCTTAATTTTGGTAACATAAGCAGGCTGTTGTTAGCACTCATCATTACTTTATGTAAAGTAGCATATGATTTCAAAAGTTTGTTTTCCTGTTATTTCAGCTTTATGATAAAATAAACACAAAATCTTCACCACAAATCAGGAATCCTCCAAGTGATGCTGTACAGAGAGCCAAAGAGGTAATGGCTTTAAATTATACTTTTTTTTTACTTTGAAAGTTTGATTGTATTTCAAGTGAAACATTTTTTTCTTCATTAAGACATCGATACATATTTTGTTGTATAATCTGATTTCTGAATTCTACTGTTGCTTATTTAAGTTACATAAACGTGCATCGAGTTATGTTTGTGTTACATACATTACCTAGTTTCATCATTTAACCTTTGCTGCAACAATAGCAGCATTAAAAGAAATACTCTTGTTGGGTAAATGCAGTATCTTTAATATTCAGTTTATCTGCAGAAATTTCATGTTTATATGATTAAGTCACACAACAAAATACACATTTCTAGGTATCAGCTCCTTAAATTCAAAAACTAAGTTTATCATAGGTAGCTCTAAGAAAAGCAGACCTAGAAAGACACATATGTTCATAACTATACCTGACAGACAGTATTTTGTTTATTTATTACAAGTAGTAAAAGCAAAATAGCTGTATTCTATATTATCAGTATAAGTAAGTACAGTTCTTAAGGGTAGTGTCAAAGGGAAACACTGTTTATAGTTCTATTAAAACGGAATGAACAGGAAGACTTTAAAACAGTGTGTAGTAACTGAAGTCACACTGATAGAGACCCTGGAGTCCTATTCTGCAAATTTTTCTGTAAGTTAATCCTGGAAGGTGCTTCCAGAAGTAAATTACTCGGCTTTTGTTTTCCAAGTAATTGCATGTGAAAATAAAGGTGTAAGTATCAGGTTGCAGGCAAATGGGTTAAAGCTTATTTACTTCCTCTTCCTTCCCCCAGTGATAAGCTGAAGTATGGCTCCAGTTTTACAAAATCTGGAGCTTGGAGGTGAGATAGCAGATAGACTACACCTACACTTGATGTCTTTAACAATCGAATTTGTGGGAGAAGGCCTTATGAGTCTTTTTAATTCTGCTTTTAAACTGCTTATTTTAATAAATTGAGATCGTGCGTTGAAAGTAGCAATTGGTGTTGGTGATGTGTGTCTTCTATTAGCGCTTCCTTTCTGATTCCATATATTTAGATGTTGGAGGAATACTTTCAATTGAAAAAGAGTAAATGTTTCTTTCAAATTTCTGCTTTAATCTCTCTCAGGAAGAAAATCGAAATGAGGTATTTTATTCTCTTGGAGAAGCACATTCTCTTAAGTGCTCTCCTGTCAAAAATATTCTTTTGTATATTCTTATAGATATTCTGACTTATCAGTGAGGGTTTTCATTTGTTTGATTAATAGCTTTATTTTAAAGAAGGTTATCATGGGCATTTCTGCTGCTTATTTTGCAGGTATTGGAAGAAATTTCATGTTACCCAGAGAACAATGATGCAAAGGAGCTAAAGCGTATTTTAACACAACCTCATTTCATGGTAAGCAAATGCTACTCTTCTTCGGTTTATTTTTTATCATATTCTTTATACTAGAAAACTTAAGTTCAGGAAGTTCTCCCTAAAATCTGCAAGTAATGAAACTGCATATAATACAGTATACCTATTCATAAATATTTCTGCTGGTCTGGCAAAATAGCTACTGTTACTACTACTATTAGTAAGTCCCCATTACTGTGCTGAAAACTGTCAATAGTTTGGAATAATCAAATTACGGAACAATTCCACTCTCTTTAGGGGAGCTGTGTTACACTTAGAAAGAAGAGCGAATCCTTTTGGGTTTGCATAGGCAGAACTGGGATCCTTATTTTTCTTGCTTCCAATGTCTTGTTAGGATAAAGGTGAATGAATACATTGCAAAATAAGCGTTTATTCAACACTGTTTTAAGATAAATCAGTAGCTTCTACAATCTAGTTACATATCAATTCCTACTGTGTCTGTTTCAAAAACCTGATTTGTTGGCAGTAATTATCCTAAGTTCTGGGATGTGACTGCTTAATAACTTCATTTAAGTTAGTGAAACCCAGTCTTTTCAAACTGCTTAAAAGATTTCTTCTGTTTATGCTGTGGATGAAGTTCATAAATTCAGAAATAAAAGTGCTTGCTTAAATCTGCTGTACACTATTGTCAGTTTAAAATCATGAATTTGACTTTTCCTTGCACAAGGGTTATTGCAGGGGGCTTTGTGGAATTTGCTCACCTGAAAGCTGAATTACAGTAAGTCTGAAGGATAAACCTAATTTCCAGCAAAGAATGAGCTGAAACAAACCTCATATTCAGGTATAAGATTAAATCTGGATAGCTGCATGTCCCAGTGTGTTCTTTTGATGGCCACTGTAGCATTGGGTGTATTTATTTTAGTACTTATAATCAGAGTAGGAGTGTGTTTTGAAGTTAATCTCCTTATTGTTACCTTATAGTGCTTTGGCTTGTATCATGTAAAGGCCCTGAGCATGCAAACTAGATTCCTTTCAGCTAAAATAAAATTCAAAGATGTACTCCAGAAGCCAATGTAATCCAGCATCTGATGGGCATTCAGTCCACAAGGCAAGGTAGAAGCTGGTCAGAAGTAATCACTTCTGCAACATATTCAGTGCGTACATCACATCCTAACTAACCCAATTGTTTTACTTGCCGATTCATTCCTATTTCATTATGCTAATTGCTAATGCAGACATTGGCTTTTTATGTTGTACTTAGCAACATATGTTATTGCCTGGAGATGATGCCTATCCTGAAGTCTGTAACAAATCTGGTTGAATATTTGACAGGAATACTTGCTTGAAATAGAACATAAGACAAGGTGGAATGGTACTTAGCTGTATTGTAAGAAATATTTAGGAAAAAACAAAGGGGGAAGGAAAAACCCCAAGAATAATACCCTCTGGTGCTCTACTTTCATCTGATTTACCTTCTTTTTCTTTGCATCATTACCACACAGTGTTGATAAAACATTAGGCACTGTGAAGAAAGACCATTTTTTAAATATGAATTATTTTCAGAGTAGGCATCAATAAAAATGAATGTGGTATATAAAACATTTGTGTATCAAATCAAGCAATAGGAAAAGTGAGCTGGAAATAATCTTTTACAGGTATCCCTATTTCCACCTGGTATCTTCCTAAACATAAAACCATCTGTCAGAATTCTTTTGCTGCAATTTTATAAAAAGTTGGGGTAGCTTTTTTTATATGGAATAAGCTACAAATCAGTAAAGAGGTTTTTTGATAAGGAATAATTTCAGTAAGTTAGTCTGTGGCATCCCAAGCTAAACTGCTAGTTGATGTAGTCATATCCCCTCTCCCCATTTTTCATCCTCTCCCTTGCACTACACTTTGGTACTGTACTGTGCCAAACCAGTAGAAAACTGCTTCAAAAAAAACAGTGATCCGTTTAGCAAAAAGATTTAGGGACAACTTAAATGCTGTCAGAGCCAGAAGAAGCAAGGGAACAAACACACAGTCCAGGTTAGGGAGGATATAAGGTGCAGACAGGAAAGACCAGAGAGTTTCCAGATGTCAGAGGCAATCCCATCCTCTCCCATCATTCCCAGTCCTGCTTCTGGATACAACTCTTACAAGGCTGCAGACCTTACAGAGCTGTTCTTCTGTATCATGCTAAACTTTCCTTCGGAGTCGAAGCCTTTGAAATAGATACCATTGCGAAAGGAAATAATCTTATAGAACAGTATTGTCAGCCTACACTCAGTGTGTTTACCAAACACTGTACAGAGCAATACTCTGGTTAGTAAGTTGCTAACCAGTGTCTGAAGCAATAAAGTGTAACAAGTAGGATCATATGTATTATCACCTGTATGATAGCATTGTATTTTACTGTTGTTTATATTATTATCTAATGTGTATACCTGATCAGAAGACAATGGAGTATAGTCTGAATCATGTACTTAAACACAGTATTAGTGGTTTAGACTATGTGTAGGCCTTTACAAAACCAAAGCAAATAAAGCATTTGTAGGTACACATACTAACACCTAGATCTTAAAGTTCAAGGTTTCTTGCTTTAGGTTTGGTTTATCCTTGGGTGCCTCATGGGTATGGGAGTGAATTATTAATTTAGTCTGTACATGCTTAACATTTTATTTTAAACAAACGTATGTAAATTTTGCATAGAGATCTTCCAGCGAATAATTAATTTAAGAATTCTTTTAAAGATTATCAAGTACTGTATTTGTTGTGTTCAAGGAGCTTTTATTCCATTACACAACTAGTTTTTCAAATGTGCCAGTTTTATTTTCAAAAGGTTCTATTATGTGTGTTTAGTATGTGGCAGCAATTGAAATGCTTGCTGTACTGGGAGAACTTTACTTAATTACATATTGAAGGTTTAGCTATCATCATGTGCCTTCCTACACTGTTCTTTACAGACAATGATCCTACAATATAGTAGAAAGCAGTTGTTCTCACTAGACTAGTTTTCAGCAGGATTATGGTGTTTTGCAAATGAAAAGGAGACAGGAAAAGTTATCAAACTTAACAGAAATGCATGAAAATTAGTATCTTTAAGTCCAATAGCAGTCTTTATATTAAAGGTTTTCAATATTTAAACTGAGCTTGCTGTACTTTAATATCTGGTGTTTCTGAATTTGTGTTAATTTTTGTTAACACATTCAGAAATAATCTAGTATAGTTATGAACCTTTAAAAATGTTCAAACTACCATACTTTAACCTCCTACAAAGTGTATATTGTTGCTATAAATATAGTATAAAGCAAGGCAAATATGTGACTTGAAACAAATGTAAGGCCCTGAATTACATAAAAAATGTAAAGTTGAAGCATGGAGAGCATAACAGATACAGGCAGGTGCATGAAGTTGAGTAGCTTTGAACAGATAGAGCTGAAGGAAGCATAGAATATTATCTTACTCTGTTATAAAGCACTTGCACACGAAGCCAGGACCACACTCACTCCTAGAGTGGATGTTTCTTGTAACAGCCAGAGCTAATGCATGTTTGCACACGGCTGCTCTTACCTTATTTGGGACAACTGCAAACAGTTTTCAGATTCTAGAATGAGAATTAAGCTAAATCTCTAAACCTGTGTAGGAGTATTCACACATAAGTTTACACCCAATTAAAAAAAGTAAAATTAAGAATTTATTAAAGTGATTTAACTTACATGTATGGTCCAGATTTCTAATCCAAAATGTTGCTTTAGTAGTACAGACCAATGCAGAGGAATTGCAAATTTGAGCTTAGCGGTTGACAAAATAAGGTGAAAACAGAAAATGCAGATACAGGTTAGTATTTAACTAAAAGCAGTACTTGTGTGGGTGGGCTTGAAACACTAGAAAAACAGGAAGGAATGCAGGCAGAGCCTTGCTAATTTAGGGAATTCCATTCTATCATTATAATGCTGAATTCCAAACTATAGTTTGAAACTGATTTGAGGAAAGGAAACTTAAACTGTTTATGAAATTACCATTTATAAATTGGTACACTTTAGAATTCCTACCTTGGGGACAAATCCAGGATTTTGCAGAGGCCATGAAACTCCCATTTCTCTCTTGGATTCCACTTTAGAAATACAGCTTTTATCACTTTTTTTCAGTTTAAGTTCTACTTCAACATTTTAATTGAAGACTAATATGTCGCAGAGTCAGATTTCTCTGCCAAAATAAATTCTAGATGTCAGTCTAAAGCCTTGCAAGATTGGTGGGTTTTGTAAGTTAAGAGCTATGAGCATTTAGATTAAAATTAACAGGATGTGAACTATAATATATATGGTTCTAACTGCAGTGGTCACTGATATCTCTACTGTTGTGGAGATACTGCAAGAACTAGGCTTGATTTATCAGTCCATGTCTGAGAAACATAACAATTTGGGTATAGCAGCAGGATTTATGTCTGGTGCTTGATGAGTCAGTATAGGAGTAGAACTAGCATGTTCACATATAAATCATATCTAGCTTTTGGACAGAAGCAAGTTTGCTATAATATACTCATTAAGAGTTGAATGCAGATATGAAATGACATTTAATCAATTATGTGCTGTACCATTCTCTACATTAAGAAACAGAATAAAACCAACAAAGTACTATTTGAGCAGTTTATTGGTTTAGATGGTATTTTTATTATCAGGCATTCTGAATGCAATGTGGGTTGTGCTGGGTCTGTGCTCGGGAGGAAGGGGAGAATATGGAAGTGATTATGGCAGTAAACAACAAAAAAAAACAGTATTTCATTCTTTCAGACAAAACTGATGCACAGCCTGTCTTAATTAGAATAAAATACCACGGGATCTGAATAGCTTTCCATCTTGTTAGGGTAATTACTATAGAACAGTTTGCTCAGAAAGTTAGCTTCCTAATTCTGTGTCTAGGCACATAAATAAAAATGTCTTAATTCTGACACCTTGCAAAAGATGGGAAAAGGGAAGCAGCATCATTCTTATTGAGACATCTACAGTAGAAAATCAGGTTTGCTCATGCAGATTTTAAAGGCTAGGGTTGTGTGTACACATTTGCAGTCTGCTGAAGTTTATCTTAAACCTTCTTTAAGGGAAAAGTTCCTATATAGACAGGCACAAATATCTTGGATTTCCTTTAATTTCTAAAAAGCTTCAAAAATACTTATAAAAAAACGAGTGGTTAGCATCAGAGATTATGGAAATCTGATATTTTGTTGCTGTAATCTCCTCTAGGCCTTACTTCAAACTCATGATGTAGTGGCACATGAAGTTTACAGTGATGAAGCGCTGAGAGTTACACCTCCTCCCACCTCTCCATACCTAAACGGGGATTCTCCAGAAAGCGCCAACGGTGATATGGATATGGAGAATGTAACACGAGTTCGACTGGTGCAGTTCCAGAAGAACACAGATGAACCAATGGTATGGAGGACACCTCAGTATTATTCTTGACTCTGTGCTGGTAAAGATCTGTATTATAATGATTTTAATGACATTTTCTGCACTTTGAAGTGAAGTTGCGGATATAACTGGTATAGTTCAGCAGCCATCGCATATACGTATTCTCCTGCGTATATACTTCACTTAAAATGCTTTGTATGCATTCATACTACTGCTGGTTGTGTTTAAAAACAACCCTGTAGTTCTTACAGCAGATTAAGGTTTTAACTAAACTGGGCACTTTGCACTGTAATACAAAATCGCATCTTTAACAAACCAGAATGTTCATGTATTAAAGTATTGCATCTTCACTTACAAAGAGTATTTGTTTTCATTGCTCATATATAAGTGAGTGGCAAAGTTTTTATAATAACCTTAGGATTTATACCCTGCCTTCAAGCTTCTTTTTTTTTTTTTCTTTCTAGGGAATCACTTTAAAAATGAATGAGCTGAACCATTGCATTGTGGCAAGAATTATGCACGGAGGAATGATTCACCGGCAAGGTAATTATTTGTCATTATTAGCTTTGTCTTCAAACACACTTATTTAAATAATTTTATACAAACTGTGTAATGGTTGTACTCCTCATTTTGATTGCTACTATTCCATAGTAGTGTACCTCTATCTGGATGGAGTCCAGATGAGCACCTTTGTTACCTTCCAGTCTGCGTTTTGAGATGAGAGCCCACTGTGTTTCATGTAGGCCTTAACTAGGGTAAAGGAAGTACAGCTCAATAAGAGATTAAACTGCCAATAACTTCTGGAGCTATACTTATTTAATGCTCTGTTAAAAAAGAAAAAAAAAATCCCTTGACTACGTACAGTGCTTTTCCGTGTAAAAATGAAAGAGCTTTGTTCAATCAAAACGAAAATAAATTTCTCCATGTATTTTCACACAGCATCTTTGTACTTTTGATGTAGAGGCTCATAAAAATGATTTTTGAAATAAAAAACATTTCTTGTGCCTGGAAATTGAATCTTTGTTTTCAGTTTTCACTACTAAAGCAAACACTTCACACACATCTTTTCTCATGTCCAGTCTACTTTTTCCATTCTGTGTGTCCAGATCAAATGTCAAAAAAAAATAGCTGGGCTTTGTCCTACTTTAAACAGATAAACTTCCCACTAAGTTGTTCGCTGCAAGGTTGGATTGCAGCTTAGAAGTGTTACTTTAGTTTTTACAGTTTGCCATCTTCTTCTTTTGATGAATACACAAATTTTCATCATTTGTCAGACCAAGGTTTCTTCTAGTCTGCTGTTCTGTTTCAAAGGATGCTAGGAACAGGTAATTAGGGAGACAGAACATAAAACAGGGAAAGGGTACAGCAGTCCTTTTCCTGATATATTCACTTAGTCTCCTTGATATGATCAAACCTGTCAATAAGCAGGAAAGATAAAACGTTCTGTACAAGCAAAAATGGAATTCATATGGACTTCTATATTCCCTTAGAGGACCCTCTGAACTGAAACGTTTTTGGCTTCTAAAAGTGAATTTTACGAGGCGATTGCTCTAAGATTCACAGGAAATGGTTTTCTTTCAACTGTACTTAGTGGTGATCTCTACACAGAATTTTTTCACAAGACTGTTTCATAACATGGGTGTACTAAAACTTCTAAAACCTGTTAAAAGTGGTTAAAAAACCACCTATGCCCATTAACACTCTGATATTTTCTTTTTAATTATACAGTGTCTTTTATTTCTAAAGATTTGCGAATCTTAATTTATTTTATATGTGCTGCACCTAAGGTAGCTCTTCTGCATGTTTCTATTTTTGTTAGTGCTCTAGATGCTTTCATTCATTGTTTCATTCAACATAACTGTATTTAGAATATTTTTACTGAATAGAACAATATAAATGCAAGTTCCCAGTGATCTTGAGCAGGACACGTCTTTGAATCCTATTGACAGGATCTGTGGCTTTCATTTGGGGAGGAGAGGGTGGGAGAAGGGGGTATGTTTTTGTTTCTCCTGTCTTCCCTTTCTGTATGGAAAACTGCCAGAGCATAACACCAATGACTAGATAACAGATCTATTGGGAGGGTTACTGGAACTGTATAATTTCAGATCTAGCAATATTAAGTACAAACTGCATAATTCCCAATCACAAAATTGTAGCTGCTGTGATGTCTGCCTTCTATCTCTATGCCAGCTCTACCTAGTCCTGCTGAATATAGTTGTGCCTATTCAAAAGGTTAAAGTGGGAAGATAGGCTTGTAAAGATGCTATCTACTTGCACCTGTCAGAGGATTCAGCTTAATGAAAACGAAACACCAGTTTTCAGCCATTAAAAATTTTCTTTTTGTTGACCTGTCTGCTCTTGTAGGATAAGTACATGAATGTACCTTAGATTTCAGGCTTTTATTTACATCTTGGCTTTCACTTTCGTGTCTGTGCCTTAATTTAGCTCAGTTGTCCATTCAGTTTTTACCTGTGGATTCTTTTTAGAATACGTACACTATAAATATTATTTTCAGGGGATCTGCATATAGCCTGATTTCTCAGTAGCTCTCAGTACCTTAACCCATATTTTTGCTGCTGACTGGTTTTGGGGCATCTGTGCTTAAATGTGAAAACATTTAAGAAGAGGTCCCAATATGGCGTTTTAAAAGATTTCCAAATAAGAGAGAGGATTTACTGTCTGCTCATTTATCCTCGCCAGAAAAACAGCAGTTGTACATTGTCAATGCTACATTAATGAAGAATCTTAATGTAAATCTCACACTAATTTTTAAAACACTTATACATCTGGTAATGTTTCTTCAACTCTAGCAAAACCTATGTGAGGACTTGGTGAAAATATGATTATATGTTCACAGCCTTTCACTTTTCAGCTACAGAATTTCCTTTTGGCTACAAAACATGTTTCTGAAGAATTTGTTCTGTGCTCTTCCTAATAGGGTCGGATTTCTCCTACTTCTATGCAGAGCAACAGTACACACTTCCTAAAACTGTCCTCACTCTGTCTTGCAAAGACAAAGAAGGAAATAATTTGCTCCAGAAATACATCCATTCTTTATTGTTACAAATGAGTTATACATCAATAAGTCATGAATAGTTTAAGTTCTAAAGAAACACTGCACTGTCAATAGAAAAGGAACCAAAAGCAACCAAAATTAGATGGCTAAGCAAAGGTATCATGAGAGCTACAAATGGTACAGAACCCCCGTTATTAAAAGATGTCAAGAATACTCTTTTCCAACAAGAATATTTATGAAAAGTATAAACTTTCTACAGAACAATAATAGCCTCTTCCCTGAGACTGGAAATGTCTTCTTATGGTTTCCTAGCTCATCCACTCCCCAAAACAGAATGACCATCTACTACTAAATATCCATGCTTTATTCCCAATTTTTGTGTATACTGCTGCATTCCAGGCACAAACAGAACAATATTCACTTCTGTCAGAATATCAAAAATGGGGAATGCTCCAGAAGAGGGAATTTCATTTAAGTGCACTGTTGAAATAATTTGATACAGGGATATTACTGACTCTGATTCTCATTCTAATATTTAATCCTATCAGATTTATATTTTGAATAATGCTAAAGAATCTTAATACTGTTCCAGGGCAGTATTATTATTGTTTAATAACAATTACACTCAATGCAAACACAGTTTAATTTTGGCATGATACAGTCAAAGGAAAGCCTCATTTATTTAGAATATTTTTTAAAAAATTGGGTATTTAATGGCTTCCTGAGAAAACATGAAAAGAAATGAACTTTCAAAGTGTTTTCCTAGAGGTTTGGTCGTAAATATTCTAGATGTGAACTAGATTGATTTGAAATTCAGATGCAGGACTGTTGCATTCACATTCAGTAAACTATTCATTGTGATAAACACTGTGATGAGTCCTTTATAAAATTTTGCTATCAGCAGATCAGTTCCAAAAGAATTGTTTGGAGCATTTAATGTGGCTGCAGAACTGACTCTTGAGAGTAGCAGGAGTTTTTGTGAACTTCGGGCACTCCCTGTAGCACTGCCAAGTGAGCTTCTGTTTTGCAGAAGAGAATCCAAAGGAAATCATAGGAACAGAGCTTTTCAGGATTCTTATCTTTTAGGCTGTGCTTGTGTTTAGCAGGAACACAGTTTAGTTTTCATACATTTGTCCAGCTGAAAGTTGTACTTGCATGGTATTCTTTGGAGAAACTGATTACTTTGGTTCAGGAAAGGATTTTAAGGATTTTTCAGGATTCAAGTTGTTTAACTTTTTTTCAGGTAGTTTACTGTATGTATGTTTTCATTTAGGAACTGTTTAACAGTTGCTAGTTTTCCAAATAAGATTATTTATATTAGGTACAGCAGTTGTGTTAGGTACGGTAGTTAGAAAAGGGTACTTGAACAAATTATTTAAATCATACAGTAGAAAGAAATGTATGTGAAGCAAATGGTCTTGTCATATTTGAGAAAGAGTGGCTGGAAAGCTGTCTGGTGGAAAAAGACCTGGAGGTGCTGACTGAGAGCTGCTGAACATGAGCCAGCCTGTGCCCAGGCAGCCAACAAGGCTGATGGCATCCTGGGCTGTATCAGCAATAGCGCAGCCAGCAGGACCAGCGCAGTGATCATCCCCCTGTACTGGTGAGGGCGCACCTCAAATACTGTGTTCAGTTCTGGGCCCCTCACTGCAAGAGAGATACTGGGGTGCTAGAGTGGGTCTAGAGAAAAGCACAAAGCTGGTGAAGGGTCTCAAGTCTGATGGGAAGCAGCTGAGGGACCTGGGGTTGTTTAGGCTGGAGGAGAGAAGGCTCAGGGGGGACCTTATCACTGTCTACAACTACATGAAGGAGGATGGAGCAAGGAAGTGGCTGGTCTCTTCTCCCAAGTAACAAGTGGTAGGATGAGAGGTAATGGTCTCAAGCTGCGCCAGGAAAGATTTAGCGTGGATATTAGGAAAAACGATACTGACAGGGTGGTCAGGCATTGCAACAGGCTTCCCAGGGAAGTAGTGGAATCACCATCCCTGGAAGTGTTCAGGAACTGTGTAGATGAGGCCCATAGTAACATGATTTAGTGGTGGACTTGGCAGTACAGAGGTAAAGATTGGACTTGATGATCTTAAAGGTCTTTTCCAACCTCGTTGATTCTGTGATTCATTATATACAAAAAACATTTCTTGCTAATAATAAACCATGGAATTTTTTTTGGAGAACTGATAGAGAATTGGGTGGGCTTGAGCTACTCAAGTCAGAAATTATAATCCAAAACGAACCTCCTAGGTTGCTTTATTCCTAAGGATAACTAATTCATTCACTGCCCTCTCCTTGTTTAGCTTTTGTAGTGTTTTAGAGCCATGTTGTAGCATGCCATTCCCATCCCAGCTTCAACAGATCAGTTTATGACTTGCCTAAGATAAGTAGATCTTTGTTTCATCATCTGACATTGTAGGTAGTCGCAGCAATCATTCACATTCAAGCTGAAGTTAAGTGTACATACAAAAAATGCATACGGTAACTGTGGTATATCAAAATCAGAGAAATGAAAAAATACAGCAATCTGACAGATAATATTAAGACTGTGTCCAGAAACCAAACGGCATTAAGTAGTCATCTGATAAAATACTATTTGAATATCTCTGTTGAACATTTCCAGCTGACTACTTGCATGTGACTTTCTTTTCCAGGTGAGCAATTTTGCAGTGTCCTTGTATAAGGGACTTATATCTTTCACATGTACTTTATAGGGTGCCTGCGCCTCTCATGCTGGTGTATTGATTGCACAGACAGATTCGTAATAGCTACCGACGACCTTATTTTAGTGTTGTTTCATGTTTATGCCTTTTTATGAATATTAGTACTGTCTTACAATTAGCTCATTTTGTAAAAACCATGTTTGAGGTGATTGTGTGTTTCATTAACCCCGCAGGTACGCTCCATGTAGGGGATGAGATCCGAGAAATAAATGGAATCAGTGTGGCAAATCAAACTGTAGAACAACTACAAAAAATGCTTGTAAGTGCCTGAAATCATTTTCATGTTCTTTACAAAATCCTTTTTTCTTCTCCTCTTGATAGTCTACTAATGTATGTAACACAAAGTCTTCCTGTGTTCAGCTGTGAAAGACTTCTACAGGCTCTTCCCTGTTTTTTAGTGAAGTGGGTTTTTTTGCACCTCATACCCAGGAATGGGAGAAGGCACCTCCAGTTGTCATCTTATTTATTCAGTTTAGTAGTCCCAGCGATAAGGTCACTGATACCAAATCATTCCTGAGAGATGTACATCTGACCAGCTCTTAAAAGGAATCTGAGTAATGGATGTTCCCCAAACTCTTCAGGCAGGTGACTTTAGTGTACAATTCTGTGTTTTAGAAAGGTTTTTGTAGTGTTTGAGTTTACTTTGAAATGCAGGAGTTTAATTTGTTTTCTCTGGTGGACATAACAGGAAAAAATACTGCTTTCCTCCTATTATTCATCCCAACGTAGTCTGTAAACTTCATGCCCTTGTTTTAAATCTTCAGTCTACATCAAGTGTAGTCACTGAGTATACTATGAGAAAAAATAAGCATTTCTTGACTATTGATATACTTGTTACACAGATACAAGGACAATAAATCATAGAACCATTCCAGTTGGAAGTAACCTCAAAAGTCTCCAGTGTAATCTCCTGCACAAAGCGGTCTCAACATTGAATGCAGCCCAGGTTGCTCAGGGCTTTGTGAGATTAAGCCTTGAAAATATCAAAAGACAGAAATTTGACAGGACAGGTGCCTCTTTAGGCAGACTGTTGCAATACTTATTATCATCATGGAGAAAAAATATATTCTTCACATGTAGCTGGAACATCCCTTCTTTCAATTTGTAACTATTGTGGTTGATAGTTATTGATGTAGAAAGGAAAACAAAAAAAGAAAAACACAACATATTTTGAGTTCAGACAGTCTTGTCTTTTTGCAGGAAAACTCATTCTTAGGCCTTGCTAGTAAAGTCTGATATTCCATAACTTGCGAACTTTTTCTGTATGCAGCCCTAACCTTGGGATCTTGGATGATATCACTAATTCTTTTGTTGTGTCCAGAACCATATAGACAAACTTAAGTGAGTCCAAGCAAATAGCATTCTTTTTTTTTTTGGCTCACAATAAGCCAGACAGGAGAAAGGGGAAAAGCTCCCAAGATTACTTGAAGTGATCTGCTTACCTTTCTGCCCAGATGAAGTCCTGCAGTTGTCAGACATTTGGTGACACTTACATTCAAACTGTCATTTGAGAAAATATGGCTGAGCAAGTATGTTGCCACGATCTACTGCTACTCTGCAGTTACTACTTGTTATGAATATTCTTGCATCATAGTAAATGCAAACTAGCAGACCTCATGTTCCATTTTGATGAAAGACTATTTCTTACATTTCTGCCTTTAGTGGAGATACATGCAGCTTTTCAGAAACCGTGAATATGCTTTTGCTATTTAAAATATATGATGAAAGGGCAGAAAATGTCACTTTAGTATTCCTACAGAGAGAAGATTGACATGGAAGAAACCTACACGTCTCTGAATCTCTCACCTGAAAATACAGCTCCAGGTTCTATGCATTCAAAATCTGTGCAGGCTAACAAACTAATAAAGTTTGTTTATCTTTTAGATGAATGAGAGGAAATTTAAATGTTTGTTTATAAGTGATATGGCAAATTAATCGTTGCATTTTAGCTTTGCTGTGTATTTATTCTAGCAAAACATACTGCTGCTCTCAAACTACGATGCTTTCCTTTCAAACATTAGTGATTTGCAGATTCTATCTTGAGTATCTTAGTCTTTAAAGAAGTGCTTCTCTTTTTGCAGAGGGAAATGCGTGGAAGTATTACCTTTAAGATTGTGCCAAGTTATCGCACGCAATCTTCATCCTGTGAGGTAATGAATTTAATGAACCATCCCATTTCTTCCTCAATCCTGTAACTAACTGCCTGCTGATGGCTGAATGTTACTGCTTTCTGGGAAATTGTTTCTGCCTGTCCTGTTAGATCACGCACACCAATTTTACAACAAAGATAACGGAACACGAGTAGGTCCCACCTACCTACTCAGCCCTGCCTTCATATTCATCTCATCAGCACCTTAACTAACTCTTTACAGCCTGTTTTTTTTTTTTAAAAAAGGAAAAAAAAAAGAAATAAAGGAAGGGGGATCCTCAGCTCATGCACTTAGGAAGCCCCTTAAGCCCCTTTAAAATAAATTACCATTTAAACTTATTCTCCAGGAAGTCTATTAAAGTTCCTAAGCTGAGGAACAATTGTTTTTTTAGGCAAGTTATTTTACTGCTTTGGGCTGTTAAGGGTTAATTGAAGAATTTGTTTCTGTATAACCCTGTTGAGGTAAATTTGTGATGGTTGTCTGTAACAGTTACATGTGGCTTAATATTATGTTTCCATGAAAGAATGGTGTTGTCATTACAGAAGAAAAACATATTTGGAGTGAGTTCTTGCTGAACTAGAAACTTGGTATTATGGTTTGTGCACAGTAACATTTAAGTCCCTTCTGCTCACAAAGTTATGTTCCAGACTGCAAGTGAAGGGAATTAAATTCTAGAAAATGCTACTTCAGAGTACTGTTCCAATTTAAGCATACAGATGGCATATGCAGTAGGTAGATGATGCCAGTCTTTCTGTGCCACATGCTTAACTGCGCAAACAGTTCCCGAATTAGAATTCTGAGAGTGAAACACAGTCCCTGTTGAAGTCAAGCACCTTATCTTAATTAGAGCTGTGATTTCACCCAAATTGTTTTTGTGTCTCAGCAGATGCTAGAACACACACAAACTGCTATTGTGATTATCAGAACAATCTGTTTGCAAGAAAAAAATTACTGCCTTTTGGTTGCCTTCTGTACTTCTAATAGAAGTACAAGAACTGAAAGGTTTTAGGGATAGAAGGTTTGACAGATTTTCACCTATGAGGCTGATTTTCTTAAAAGATATAAATATGAAAGCAAAAGATTTTCATGAAATGCAAAAGCTTTAGAAAAAAAAATAGGAATTCTGGAGTGTGCTGACAAATTTACATATTGACTTTAATGCTGTAAATAGTAATAATAAAAGCTATCTTGCTTCCCAGTATTTACAGAAACCGATGAAACTGTAGACCTGCTGGGAAGATGATTATTTGGAAAAAATAATTCAGCGTAAAGTTTTAAATTAATACCATTAGGTGTCATTTTAGCTGTAGCCAGTCCTCTCTTTTCCTTAGCTTTGTGTCCTTAGGTTCCTAATGAATTTATTTCACAGGGATGAGAAAAATGGACTCTTACTTTCCTTTGGAAAAAACCAGCAAAACTAGAAATGTGTGATCAAATACGGGGTAGGGGAAGCGTGTGTAATTATCACACTTTATGGCATTTAGCTTTCATTTAATCAGAGGTGGCTGAATCTGTGCCACCTGCTCAGCCACACTATGACTTTGGCTAGATTTTCAGCTGTTAAAAGTGTACACAAAAAGCCAACAATTTTAAATCACCTTATTAAAGCATCACTGGTCCTTTGGTACAAAATATTTTTTATTTTTTTTTTACAGAATTTTTCAGGATTGTGATTCAGATGATGAATCAAATTCTTAACCATTGATAAAGACGAAAAATGAATGTTGAAACACTTTACTAAGACACAGGAAGCCTGCTTTGCATGCTGTCTAGCAGGATAAATTCAGAGATATTGGGTCTCTGTTAGTATAATTTTATTAGTTAAGGTATTTTTTTTTGCAATATTTTAGTATAAATTTGTGTTTGGTGTCCCATCCTGCCTCATCCTCCCCACTTCAGTCACAGACTGGTGCACACATAGTATAGTTTTACCAGAAGAGGAGTATAACACAAAAGTGATAACTGGGGATTTTTGAGTCTCCTACCATGATCATGTCATTGGATTGCAAACCGTCTTGAATAAGAAAGACTAAATATTAGTAGAATCACAGTTGATCTGCCTTTTACATAGAAGCTGTCTGTAGGCCTCTATACACAAGATGCACAGGATGGTCTTTTTTTTTAACTAATTGAGAATTACATTTCACTTGCCATATTTTTCTTCTTTTGTAGGCATTTAAGAGAAATGTTGTAGTGGTGTTTTTCTAAATATTAAACCACTTTTGCATATCTAGGAAGTCTTGTCCCTATAGTATGTAATGGCACTTCAGTGTCACTAGGCAGTTTCCAAAATCTCAACTGAATAATTTGAAGTTTGTTAGGGATTTGTGTCTTTTCCTGCACCCATGCCTTCCATTCAGTTACCAGGCTTTGTATTTTGTGGAGCAGATTTTGCTTGAATACATAATACTTACAAATTCCCTTGTATAAAAATCTGATTGGCTGATCTGCTCTGAGATGACCTGTTTAGCCATTGGTGTGGCAAATGACCTGAATCACTCAGATACTGAGATAACACAGTGACCAGGATGTTTTCTGCTTCAGATACCCAGGAAATTAGGGTTACATAAATATGAACTTAAGTAATTATTGCAACATATTCTTCTTATGGCTGATGACTGGATTTGCTGTTTCAGTTTTATCCAGCTGCGTAAGCATTTTGCTTCAGCTACATTTGCATTTTTACTTTGTACTGACAAAACACTCCAAGTAACTCCAAGTAAATTTCAGGTCATTTTTGTGAAACACTTAAGCTGTTTCATTAAGAAGAAATGCCTTTACATATATATGATGTTTTAAATGTCTGGTGATAACCGGCATGGATTTTTTCCTTTAGCCTTACAATGTTTCCATTAGTGTTCAGATTATAAGACTTTTATAGTCTTAAAACTTTTTTACCTTTGTATTAAAAATACTGCCAGGCAGGTTCCTCAGGCGAGTCTGAAGTGGAAATGTATTTTCAGAATTTTGAAAAGTCTCTCTCTAGTCAAGTTATCGCAGAAATACAATAACACTTCTACAGTACTCAGAACTGTTGGATCCTCCAAGTGTTTCTCTGCTCTTCCTGCCAGGAAAACCAGGGCTTTTTCTGATATAGTGGAGAAACAAACTCACAACCACAACTGAAGTTTTCCAGTCCTGTCCTAAGCAGTCCTAGCATTCTACAGGAATCTCTCTACTGGTTGTTTTGTTTAATTAGATTGTGCACAATGCAGTTTTTCTCTTAACTTTTGAGTCTGATATTTAGGAAATTAAGAATCTTAATGCCTTTGAAATCAAGGCTGAACTGCCTAATTATTTAAAAATCGTGCATATGCCTCTTGACTAGCTTGATAGATTAATTTCATACAGTTAGTACTGAAATCACCAGTAGCACTTAACATGTGCATTTTCCTCAGTATGTTATGATGAACAGTTGCTTTGAGTAATATCCTGTATTCTGTTGAGAATTGCTGGAGGAATACAAATCAAAACATTCTCAAACCAAGAAAATTTCCTTCAAAGGGAGAAGCCTTCAAGAGTACAGAAACGGTGGCATTCTCTACATTATTTTAAACTTGTTTTTCTCCAGATTACTTGGGTGCTTGCATCACTTTCCAAAGCTTTCCCTTGTTAAACCATCACTGACTATCAGATCATAACAAACAAGGTTAAAAAAAGAAAAAGGAAGAAAAAGAAAAAAAGATAAAATTAATTTTTCACCTCTTGAAAGTGAGAAAATGGCAGAGACAGAATTGCGTAGTGAGTAGAAACTCTCCTTATAAATGAAGGAAGCCACTGCTCTTTTTGAAAAAAGTATCTCCTAGCTGCTAGGTGATGCTGATAATCCTGTAGCCAAAAAAATACTGGAATAATGATTCCTTTTTTCCCCGGTAATGAATAACTTACTTATTTGGTCTCATTTGAACCTTTTAAACCTGTTGTGCTGGAGTGATTTTGTAGATAGAATTAGAGCTGATTTCCCCCAGTCTGTCATTGTATGTTGCAAATAGTTGTGGGGGGCAAATGAGCATTTTGTTCTTATGCCTGTAGCAGAAGTATGCAGACCTACATACTTTGAACCACAATGATTTTAGAGCCATAATATTGTCAGATCTGTCCTCAGCTGTGTGAAAATCAAAGCAAGTGTCTAGACAACTGCATATGGAACTTTCTGTGAAATCATATCTAATGAGTCCACAAAAAAGTGCAGAAGTCCTAGATGAGGTTGTTGTACATCAAGCATACAGGTAGCAAGAGAGATGAAGTATGGCCTGTCATTATTATTTTTTTTGACACTTTAAAATAGCTATGAGTGCTATCATGTAATTAGTCTAAGCTCAAGAATATTAATAGAAAACCCTTACTTCGTTGCATGAACAATTTAGCTCCAATTCTGGGTTTTAATTTCTTCACAAAGGGCAGTTTGTATTGACAAAATGTGACAAGGATAACTTTGTTTTCTTTGAAGAATGTTATAGCCCTTTATTTCTGCTAACCTTGGCATTATGAAAAATTACCAGACATTCCTAAACTGACCTTTGACATGGAATATTGTATTTCAATATTCTTTGGGGGGCCAATGAGATATTTTTTTTTTCCCCATAGTGTATGAGTGAATTAATTTCCTGAAGAGGTGGCTCAATTACCTGATCTTATGGAATTTAGTACCATACAATCAAAATGGCATGTGAAAAAGATTGCTCTGCAAGTTACTCGTTTGCCTTCTCAAAACCCAGTCAGAAATTCCTATTATCCTTTCTGTAGAATTTCTTGCTATGCACTCTGCCTCTGCTGTCTCCTCACTGAAGCGTAGGACCACACTGGAGTCTTGAGTCGTAAGAGGTGGCTTTTTTTTAAAGTGATATATTTTGGCAAGGTTTAACACATTTAAGCCTATAAGAATGTTGGAGGAAAAAGCCCTCAGTGCGCTGTAAAATGTGTGAGGGGAGAGAAGAGAGTATCCAGCTTCCTTCTCAGGTGTTAGCTTCAGTGTCTTTGAGGCACTGGAGAGAGATGCGTTTTACAGAGTAGAAGTCACAGAGTGATCAACACTGACCACCACCACACAGCTGAAAGAAATTTTAGAAGCATCTTTAAAATGTGCCTCATTCTATTCAATGTGTTGCTCAGCATATAACTTTCAGGTGATTATGGTAATTACCTCTGACAATGACACCTGTATGACCAATGGCCTTTAGCATTGTCAGCCAATGAGATCCCGGATACTCAGTAATTAAAAAGCTAAGGCAACATCAAGGATAAATCAAGATGTCAAACCTGAATCTTAAACTATGAAAAAACTTGTCAGGCTTACGAAGTTTGTAGTGGGGAAACTTTCACAGATAAAGCAGCTAAGCAAATGGTTATAAGGCTGTGGATGTAACTGTTCTTTTAAATATATCTGTGTTCCTGTGATAGTGTTGTGTTGTTAATGAACCTTGTGTCTTATTTCAGAGAGATTCCCCCTCTACATCCAGACAGTCCCCAGCTAATGGTCATAGCAGCACTAACAATTCTGTTTCGGTAAGATTTCCAGTTCCACACAGAGAAAGTGTGAAAGTTTTGTTGGTGCTCATCTGCCATTACTGTGATACCTATTGTGTGGTCAGTGGAATATTTTGTCCTGATGGTAGAACCAGGGTTATTATATATGTAATTCCCCATTTTCTGTTTTTTTAAGGGTTTTTTTTCCAACATACTCTTCTCATTAAAAGCCATACAGTGAATTAAATGTTAATAACTGTAATGTGATACTCAGTCATCCTTAAATCATTGTTAGCATTTTCCTCAAAACCGAGCAAGGGTTTAAAGTGGAAGTTTTGTTTCCATCCTGAACTTGGAAGCAGTGTTTGAAGAAGGAGTAACTGTGCAGTTGGTATTTCAAGATATTTTAGAAGCTTTTAAGTTTTGTGTTTTGAGAGACATCTGGAATGTGTACTGGTTTCCGCTATCTGAGTTAACGAATTGGTGTGCCCTCTGCTGTTGTGGTACGTGCACATACTTTGTGAAATATGAGCCTTGCCTGAATATGAAAAGCAAAAGGAAGTGGCTTTAAACTGCACTACAAACCAAGCTGTTATCATCACATCTTTAACACAAAGTACTTCCATTCCATATGTATTCAGGTAGCAAGGTGCTGTTGATCTGCTGTTTTTCTAAAGTATATTTATGTTAAAATTTGTCCTGTTTTATCATTTGTCATCGTTTGGACCAATGTAGTAACGATACACGCAAGTTTCTTCAGTATCAGTGCTGTCAATATTATACGTTCATGGGACTAGCTAAAAAAAAAACAAAACCACAAAACAAACCAAGTAACTACTCTTTTGACTATTAGAAATTATTTGCGACAAGGTAAAGTGCTTAATTGATACAATAAAAAAAGAATTGAAATAGTTGAAAAATTTAAGAAATTGTTGTGAATTAAATTTCATTTGTAACATGATTAGTAGTTATGAGCTTATTCCTCAGCACAATTACTTAAATTACACATTTTTAATAATTTTTTGCTATTTATAATAGCCACCCTTCTCTTTTAAAAACAAGACTAAGTGTTAAGTGGAAAAGGCATTCACGTAAAGAGCCTCTTTCACTTGCTGGTGCTTTTGTGTTGAAGATGCTGAACTATTTATTAAAAAGCACATTCTCTATCTGCTTAAACTTTTTACCTGCTTTCTTCAGCTTGCTGCTAAACAGCCTGGGTTTGATTTTTCCTTTAAGGAAAAAAATATTTCTAAACATTGGTCAATGCTTTATACTTTTGTCTGACTTACCATTTACTGTACTGTAGTATGAATCACTAACAAATGGTGTTGTATACCCTTAAAAAGTAAAATGAAAATTTCTTCTCCTGGGTTGACTTTATTCTGCAGGACTTGCCATCGACAACACAACCAAAAGGACGACAGGTGAATAGATATTCTCCATGGGAATTTATGTAAATTTAGCTGCTAGTGAACATCCCTGCTTGTCTTTTTTTTTTTTCTGTATGTGCTGGACTAAAACATTTAAGCCTGGAATATTTGGGGTTTGGTTTTTGTTTTTTCATTTTCATTTTTCTTTTTAACTCATTTGTTTGTAGCTAATTCAAAATAGCTTTTTGTGTTTCTGTGTCCGTATATGTGAAAGTTACAAAATCAATCTACATTTAACTAGAGAAGTTGTTTTAGTTCAGAAGGCGTTAATAGGCTTACTGTTGTGCAGTGACCTGTGCAGATTTTAATCTTAGAGGAAAGCTCAACTTTGTATTTTGGCTGAAATGGAGACAAGTAGGACAAATGTCTAATACTTTAAAACATTGTACTGACAAAGATTCTAAAGCTTAAGTTGGTCTATAACTAGTCATTAACAAAGCTCTTCAAAGAAAAACATTAAGGTCAGTTTCTATTAATGGTCAGTAAGTCTGAAGAGAGACTCTTAAATTTTCAGTCCTACAGCCTAGATTCAATAACCTCCCTTGACCTGTTGGTAGCAGATGTCATCATGGACCAAAGAAAGATCTTCCCTCTTCAGAGAATTCCAGGAAAGCCCTTAAGGGCTCTTCGGAGGATTTCCTGTTATTCTTTTTGCAATTTTAATATTTTTTGTTTGGTTTGTTTGGTTTTTTTTACTGCAGTCTCCACATCAGCACGTACCATCAAGTGATTTGCATTTCATCTTCAATAACGTCTCCATTTATATATGGCCCTTCCAGAATCTGCTTCTGAATCTTGAACCATAGATTCAGCCTCTTTATCTAGCAAGGGTTTTAATAATAACTCTTGCAGTTTCATTCAAAATAGTTGATTAACTCCATGTTCTGTTGTCTTTGAAAATCTTTTTATACTACCATCTGGTTAAATTGGCTGGAATATCTATTACAAGAATGGATTGCTTTTGCTTCATTTCCCATTTTTAAAGCTTATAGCTATATGGTTTTTTTCGACTTTCTGTTGTCTTCTGAGATTTCCAGCTGAAAAGTTTTCCAAGCTCTTAGGTTTTCATTTGTCTCTCCTAAGGAGTTTTTCCAGAAGAAGAGACTTTGTTCAAGGCAACATCAAAATAATGGTGTTCCTTGTACTTACACCATTTAGTTACCTGGTTTTTTTTCAAGAGTCTTTTCCCATTGAACCAGCATATTTCTCAGGTGGCTTGTAATCCTTGAAGACTGTAGGGGCTTGGATAACAGATATATTGCTATTTGTACAAAACTCTTGTTACATTCCATGAACTGCCAATATATGGTGGGTAATGGCTTAAACTGGAGCAGGGACTTGAAAAGCAAGGAAGTTCCTAGATGGTAAAAATACTGCTTACATTTCTAGAACTATATTAGATAAGGCTGAGGGGAAATAAGAGATCGGTTCATTACTGATTACTCAATAGAAAGCCAATTACTGCATAAAAGTAATTGGTTTCAAAAGATTCTATTTTTCAGGTAACTAAAAGAAGTTGGGTTGCTTGTTTGAACTCACACACTCAATGCACAGCAGAACAAGGGTCAGATTTAGTGTATTACATATTAATCTATTCATAGGTTTGGTTGCAGGTTGGACTACTATAACAATTCACTTTTTTAAGTGCCATGAATAGTGCTAACACTGCATAGTTACAGCTCTTTCTGAAGCAGAATTTGAGCAAAATATAAAAGTGTTAGTTGCAGTTTAAATGAGATGGCTTTGCAATGTATTTTTTTTTTAATCTAGTCAATTTTTAGTAAGAAAATCAGCAGTAGAATAAACACGGCCACCTGAGATGCTATAGGATGGTGTTTGAAATTCATACACAATAGAAATTACCCATATGGACACGACATTAATTCCAGTTTTAAGGTCCTTGGATGCATCAGGGCTGTAATTAGCAACCAGAACTAGAGATCACTTCAATTTTTATTTTCTAGAGTTGAGACCTCACTAACATACAAAGCAAGGATTGGTATATTATTTTAAATTATCAAGACAGAATCTGAATTCTTTCTGTTAATGTTCCTTTGATAATAACTTACTCAAATTGTTAGCTTTCATTTATATGTGAGTAGACTTTTACTGAAAAACCCATGCAGACAATTCCTAGGCTCCCCCCAAGTAACTAACTATATGTGGTAGGTGCAACAGAAGACTTCCTGGTAAGTCTTGGAAAAAGTACTGATTTTCCAGTCAAAATACTAAAGATCAGTACTGTAGCCTAAATCCTTTATATTCTCCAGTAAAATTTCCTGTCAGACAAATTTTTAAATCATGGCACTTCAGTTGGAAAGTACAGCACAGTTCAGTTGTAAGCTTCTGGCTTATAGTCTGTAACATTTCGTGATAGTCAATAGTGATTTGAAGGACTCTTATCAGTTTATTACACGTGTTCATTTTTGCTGTCAGATTTTGCAGTATGTAGAAGACTGCTTTCAAGATAACATCATATGTCTCCATTGTTTGCTGGGGGGTTTGTTTTATTTTCAGCTATCACTCAGTCACTCATTCTTTTGCCATTCTGTTTCTTCCTTTGCTTGTTGCAAACAGTATATGTAGCTACATGCACAGAACAAATTTTCACCTGTTATGCTTAATACTGTACCTGTAATAATATTGCAGTGTCTTTTATAAACTCTTTCTTTTCAGATATATGTAAGAGCACAATTTGAATATGATCCAGCAAAGGATGACCTCATTCCTTGCAAAGAAGCTGGCATCAGATTCCGAGTTGGGGATATTATCCAAATCATTAGCAAAGATGATCATAACTGGTGGCAGGGTAAACTTGAAAACTCAAAAAATGGTACTGCAGGTCTTATTCCTTCTCCTGAGCTTCAAGAATGGTATGACTTTAAGTTTTCTATAAAAAATAATTTGGCTTTGTTTTGATTTCTGTGTTTCGTGCTTTTCATTGTTGTATAGCTTGGTTTTGTCTAGTTTTTAATTTTTTCAGGAAAAAAAAGTGTATATTGCTTCAGTTTGTGTGGCATTGATTTTCTTTTTTTCTTGTACATGCATAGCTGTAAGGGTTACATGCAGTGTGATAAGCAGTTAGTAAACATTGTGCTTTCTGATATACTACAGGAAACTAGGATTGAAGGCCACATACAAATTATGTAACGGGGTCAAATTAATTTCTCTTTTAGGTTCTAAATAGTGTTTGCATTGGTACTGCTTACACATAAGTGCTGCAAGAACAAGGTGTTAGCAAGGCATCAAGCACAAACATCATTGTGGGAGTTTTGTGGTTTCTCTCCTTTTCATTTTTCCTGTGAAAAATAAAAAGTAGAAAGAAATCACAGTGTAAAGATTCCTGAATGACAGATTCAATGTGCAGCAATGGCACTGAGTACCAAAAAAAAACAATGCAGAGCCTTTGAACAAGCTCTTGCAGAAGCTGGTTAGTAAATATTTTATCAGCACAACTCTGCAACAAGTACTGGGCCGTGAAAGTCACAGTCATAACTCAAGAAAGTGTATCAATATGGAATATATAGCCCAAAATATTTCATGAAGATTTGCTACATAAAAGAATTTGAGTGCTGTAAGGGTTTAACAGCACCTGTGCCACCTGGACTGACCAAAGGAGATTTTATTAGAAGAGAAACAGAGGTAGACTATACATTCATTCCATCTGAAGACCTCCCTTGCAAGCCCTGACACAAGGGAAGCACTGGTACACATTGCAACAGGAACACCTGCAATACTTCATTCTAAAGATCAACCTTAAAACAGTTCCACAACGTAACTTGCTCTGTAGTTAGTTCAGACCATAGTGGTGTTTCCAGACCTGATGCACTTCCAGTCTAATCTGCTGCAAAGTGTCTACAGCCAGTTTAGTAGCTACCCTTCCTCCCATGCTAACTTGATCTGTGAGCTTTAATTATCTGTCCTTAAGAAGATTTTCCTTATATCAAAGTGGGTTTAAGTCATTAAAAAATAAAAGGATTTGAAAGGTTTTACTGTACTCTTGTACTATAAAAGTCTTATTTTTCTAACTCATTCTGTGTGGCTTTTTAAAACTCAGTAATTGCAACCAAAAAAAATTTTCTCCTTCATATGCCAGGCGAGTTGCTTGTATTGCCATGGAGAAGACCAAACAGGAGCAACAAGCCAGCTGTACTTGGTTTGGAAAGAAAAAAAAGCAGTACAAAGACAAATATTTGGCAAAGCACAATGCAGGTATGAAAAAAAAAGACACAAGTATCTTTAACAGGTTATATTTTTCACAATCTAAACCTTGCCACTAAGAGTTCAGCTGAAACTTTTACATAAACCTAATGAGGTACTTAGGAATATATAAGTAAAATTCTAATTATTATTACATTATTATGCTGCTTCCTCTTTGCTATTTATACATATAGCTTAAGCAGTGAGAGGCAAGCAACAACAGAAATGCATCATAATATATCCTAATACAGGCTATATATGCACCAATTAAATAATAGAAATCTCTATTTTCACATTTCTTCTTACCCTTGCGATCTTTGTGTGGCATCAGAACTCACCGTGTATCAGTGCTACAGAATTTATGTTTCCTTAAAACTAATTTGCAAATAAATTCTTAGAAAGTCAAACAATAATTGTCATTTATAGTCCTTAATTCACCATCACATTTAAGGTGTTCACAGTTAAATATAAAATTACTTGTTGCCCTGAAAACCTTTATAAGTACAGATTGGAAGCTTTAACTTGTTTACTTCCTTTTGCTGGTTTAACATGCTATTTGTTTTAATATTTCCACCCATTGCAGTAGCACTAAACCATGTTTTACTAATTATGACCTTAACAAAAAGTGTTGGGATTAAATTGGATTTTATGACCTGAAGTCTTTGACAGTAGTGGTTTTTAAGTATTATCAGTTGCTTTGAGCATACATTCCCACAGCACTGCTGCTCCCTTCAGTTGTCGCAATATAACTTTGTGTGGCTGTGCTGTTAACTGGATTAACTGAAGAACCACTTGACAAAAAAAAACAGACTTTTTCTTTAAGGCACATACATTTCTTAATATAGTTCACAGTGCAGGTATATAGTTAATAATGTCAGCATGACTAAGCACAGCATGCTACAAAGGAGTAAGTGAAGGAAAGAGGATGGCCAGAGAAGGAGCAGGCACTACTTCAGGAGCAAAACTAGCTCAAAGACTTTGTATCAGTTAAGTCCCTGTGTGCTGTGTGGTGCTCAGCTGCCAGCTGGGGCTAATCCTGAAAGGAAGTAAATCTAGACTTCCCTGTCTTGATGTAGGGTATGCATTTTGGAGGTTGACAGCACTTTGAGTCACACAATTTGCTTGCCTTAGTGCTTGCCACCATCAGTGCTGATAGCCACTTTACATCAGAGCACAGTGTTTGCCAAAAATTAGAAACATGGAATCATGGAATCAAATAGGTTGGAAAAGACCAAGTCCAACCATTACTCCAGTGCTGCCAAGTTGACCACTAAACCATGTCACTAAGGGCCTCATCTACACTGGTTTTGACCACTTCCAAGGACAGTGATTCCACCACTTCCCTGGGCAGCCTGTTCCAATGTCTGACACATAAGTATTAAGAATTATGATAATGACAATTAAAAAAACTGTTCTTTTCCGAATACCATCTGACACTTTCCTTTCCCCGTCAGAAGTCAAAAGGTTAATGAAAGCACTGATTACAATCACGATTTCTTTTAGAAATGTTCATTGAACTTCGTGTCCTTGAGGTGCTAAAGGTGATGCCAGTAATATTGCAGGGAATAATGCTAAATGTAGGATATAAAACACTGGCTTTTGCAAGCCATCAGTGCATCTGTCTCAGAATAAAAGCAAGATTTTCTCTTCTGTTAGATCCAAAATAAGTATGATTAATTTAGCTCTAAGAAGTCTAATCAAGATGTCAAAACGCTGCTTACAATAAAGTAGAATTTATTTCCCTTACGTCTTAGTATAAAATTCAATAAATCATTTAGCAGTGTGTAGTCTATTTGGACTTCCATGTTATTTTTGTCTTAGGAATGAGACTGAACTGGGGTACTGAGAAATTATCTAGTACAATACTCCATAGTCAGCTAAGATTTGTGTGACTAGCTAATGATTTGAGGGTGAAGATTTTTGCTGTGATATATTGGGATATTACTGGAACTAGAAATTAAATTATTCTGCAAATCAAGCACAGTTTGTGAAGTAGAGGAAAATATTTCACTTACTTTTTACAATTAAATGCAAATATATTCTCCTTTACAAGAAAAATATCCTGTTTTTCTTTCCTCCATCCTTGATATTATTGTGTCTTTCAAGAGACAGTTTCACAATCATGCATCATATCATTGTAAAGTCAGCCTTAAACCAAAGCCCACAGGAAAAAAATAACTATTTTTCATTATTCGTCTTACTGACATTTTTATAAATGCTCTAGAGATATACTGCAGCGATATCTAGATATATTTTTTTATTTATTTTACTGAAGTGTTATTGCAGGACTTCATGAAAGAACAGTCTTTAGCATATACTAGAACTTTGCTTCATATTATGCATAATGTAGAAAATTGCCAAGCTTTTATAAAATATGTTTATCATTTCTTAATGTGATTTATTTGCCTTGTGTTTAGACTATTGCATGGTAAAGTTTATTTTGTGCATATACTTTTTATTTTACTAATATATTACAAGCCATATCTCAATGACCCCTGTACATTTTTCATGCTGTCTTACTCCCAATGGCCTCTGTGCATGTAAGTAACCTGTCAAGTGACAATGCCTCTTTATTTGCTTCTTACTGTTTCCTTTCAAGATCTCCTTTTCTTTATTAGCTAGTAACACAGAAGCATTAAATTTCAGTGTTTAAATGTGCCCTGTATTCCTTATCTTGTGTATTAAAAAATTAATCATTTTTCTTTTGCATTTGAAAACCCTACAATCATTACTGAAATCCATGTTGACTGAGACACATCTTCTCCATGCTGCTAGTTTGTGATGAAGGCATCAATATGTATCATTGTTGTTTGTTCTTGTTGGGTTTATCTAACATGCTGTGTTTTTGTACAAGAAGAAAATAAAGGATTGATTTTTTTCAGAATCATAGAATAGTTAGGGTTAGAAAGGACCTTAAGATCACCTAGTTCCAATCCCCCTGCCATGGGCAGGGACACCTCGCACTAAACCATGTCATCCAAGGCTCTGTCCAACCTGGCCTTGAACACCGCCAGGGATGGAGCATTCACATTTTTTTTAATTATTTATTTTCTTTAATGGGAAAAGATACTTGCAGGCCTAGATGGTTAGAATGGTAAAACTGTTTAGCATGTTGCAGATCTTTAGCTCTTTCTAATATTAAAGGAATTATTAATGACTTTAAATATTGTGAAGTTGCAGAAAGGACTGTAGTAATGATTCCATGTGTGTGGAATGGAAGAAATAGATGACTAAATTCTTGCTTGGGGAAAGGTTGAAAGAGATTCTTTGGGATGAAATTCAAATTGCTTCAAATGGATTAGGAAGTTTTCATATCTGTATCTTTTCAAGGTCTTAGCTGAGTATGCCAATTGGCTTGATCTGCAGTTTGACCAAATTGAAGTAGTTAACTTTTTCTCTTCATCAAAAAAGATTGCCAATGAATTGAAAAATCTGCCCTATAAAAAGAAATGCATTAAATTAAATCCTTTGCTGCTTTAACTGGGACTTTTGTACAAAAACCCTGTGCCTTCTGGTACACTCCACAGTCTTAATGCTGATCTTGGTGGCTGGAGATGTCTGAAGCAAGCAAACTAAAGCTTCCGCCTCTACTTTCCTACAGGGTTTTGGAAATGGGGGGAGGGATATATCCGGACTTACCCTAAAAGATGGATGGGATATAATTGAGGTTAATACACCAGCTTAGGACTTGGAAACACTCAGAGATCTCATACTTTAGATGCAGTCTCTCCTCCGTTCTTTTTATAGCATGCATAAATACAGAACTGAAAACTCGTTCGTTATTCTGCTCACAATTGCTGACTGCTGTAATTTTTATAAATGTATTTGTCAGCCTCCTGGCTTCTTTATTCATTAGAATTCTGCAAGAATTACCAAAGATGATGTATTACTGGGCACAGGAGGAATACGCTGGTTTTAATGAACAAAACTTGATCTGTCAATCCTTGTATACCTTGGCAATTGAGAATATTGGGCATGATGGAATTCATCCAATTTCAACTGCAGTTGAAATTCTGAAATTATACTTTTACAATTTTTCCCTAAATATGGTGGAGGTCCTTTTATGTAATGCCATCACTTTCCTTTAGAATTCTTCATTCTGTCACAAGTTTTAAGAGCTTGTCCATTTTACTAGCACATGTGTTTAAAGAGAACTCTAATTACAATTAATATGGTTGTGTAGTTTTGAACAATAAATACCACAAAGTGTTAAGACTCTTCTCTATGCATCAAAGTATCAACACTCTTCTCTATACATTTCTCATAAATCTTGTTAAAACATGATTATGAAAATATTCCTATCTTTAGTGTAAATAGATGTTCTCATCTTGTATTCATGTTGGTCACTGTCTACTGATTTTTCTTTAGTACTCTAATTTCTTAGCAATGCAAACATGAATGGCATGCCATTTTAGCTAATTTTTGTGGTCTGCTGAATATTGCATGAAAGGACATGCAAACTTTCCTGAGCATTTCAGTACCTTTTTTATTGCTTTTTAACAGTTTTTTTAAATGAACAATTTCGTTAAATTTGCATAATGAAATGCTTTTATTTTCCATAATACTTCACTTTGTATTATAAATCTAAAACTTGCTAGAATTATAATTTGTACTACAATTAATTATTACCCTTAATAAGCCTTTTTTTCTTATCCCTGTGGGGGTTTCTTTTGTGTTTTAGTGTTTGATCAATTAGATCTCGTCACATATGAAGAAGTAGTAAAACTGCCAGCATTCAAAAGGAAAACGCTAGTCTTACTAGGTAATTTTGAGTTATTATTCTGAACACAATAGCATAGTTTTGAATCTTTTCTGGTGGAAATATTATCATTCACTTTTGTGTTGTGGATTAGGTGCACACGGTGTTGGAAGAAGACACATAAAAAACACACTCATCACAAAACACCCGGACAGATTTGCTTACCCCATTCCTCGTAAGTAGCAATGTTCAGTGTGTACTGCAAAATTCTTTGTATCATCCTTGACAACATACCTATTGTACTGCTATGTGTGTTCAGTTCTGCTGAGACGAATCCTATCTTAAAGGTGAGAACTATGATACAACTGGGTATATTTCTTCTTTTCTTTTTTTCAGGGGAAGTGTAGTAAGTAGCACCACGCATGTTTCTTAATATTCACAAACCTTCTTGTTAAGCACACCTTTCTCTAACCCAAAGATTTGTTAATTTAGAATGAAGGTTAAAACATTTTTTTGTTCTAATTTTATATTTACAGTTCAGGTAAGACTGGAACAGCCTTGACATTTAAAACTGTGGATAGTTCCCGTGAGAAGAATTATAAACTGGATTTCGAGGAAACCTTTAATGTGTACCTTATCTGGATGTTTTACATTACTTTTCACAGACTAGCCTTGAGGACTGGTACTACACTAAAATAACTTCAAGTTTCCAGAGATGATGATAAGAAATAGAAAACTCAATTAACTTTACTGTTTACAAGTGGGTTGTTATGAAGAACACTGGGGTGTTTTTCTTTCATGACAACGTCTATCAATACAATCCAGGAATTGCATATCCTACTACATAATCTCTTGGAGATGCACTCTTTTTCCTCAAACTAGGCATTCTGAAACAAAAGTGTTCCAGCAGCTTAATCTGTCTGCTGTGTTTCAGGCTGACTTCAGAAACACCATACATGCCTCAGAAGTGACACTGATGACTGCTGTGCATTAATTTATTTTCTTTATACCTTGTTAGTGCTTTACTCTCAAATGGCACATGCATGGTTTGCTACCTATGGGATTTTGTGGTTGCTAAAAAAATATTATTTTTAAGAACTTATCTCCATACCTATTTGGAAACGGAAAAGGATTAGTTGGCTGCTGATTCTAGTTCCCCTGGCTTGCTTGCTAAGGAGTTACACAAAGACCAGTGCCAGCAGATGGAAAACGGAAAGATCTAGTAGCCCTTTCAAAAGCATGAGACTTTGCATCACCCCAGCAGCAATGTTAAACTGCACTGTTTGTCACACTAGTATTTATATGTAGACACTAAAATCCTAGGTTAGATACTTTAAAAGTGCAGTGCCGTAAGTATTCAATAAAATTGTACCTATAGATATATTATATATATACAATCTTGTCAATACAGACAAGATTATATGGGAGGAAGGGAACAGTAACACAGCAAATATGCTTTCAGTTTCAAAGAGCTAAACCAAAGAGTAGTAAATGCTTTACAGCACACTTTTCATCCTGTCTCTCTCAAGAACTGACTGTATTGCTGTGGGGAGGTAGAAGCTGAACTAGTGACTTCACCTTGAAATACCTATTAAAGCAGACTCACCTAAACTGTGACAACCATGCCTTAGATTGCCTACACTAGGTTCCTGTTCACTCTGTGGTAGCACTGGAATTGTTTCACTGATTATATAAGGCTAAAAAGCCTAGACTGCAAATCAGCATGAAATTCAGGTGCTTAAGCATCAGTATGATGTTTAAATGCTTGTTTTAGACATCACCTGACCTCCAGACCCACTCCAGAAGAGCAATGGCCTCCTCTAACTCCTCTGTTGTATCTAGTAATTCCTATTTGTATATTTCAGACTTCAGGCATTTAAGGCATTTGAAATAGGACTTTATGCTGGTGTTTAGAGACCAAATTAGTTTGTTGTTAGTGGTATAAATAGGTCATATAAAATATATCACATACCCTTTAAGTATTGTGGGAACCTGATCTGTCTTTCAGTGGGCTCTAGGTAATTGAGTTTATCCTCTACAGCTCTCAGGGATGGATTTTACTGCATTTTCTGCATTCTTTTACAGAACTGTGGTAGGAATAGGTATATTTTGAGATAGGCCTTAAGCTGGGTGTGGAGTTTTGGGGAGTGCTTTATAAAGAAAATATGTACCAACTGAAAACCTGATTATAAAAATCATGTCACATACAATAGTATTTAATTAAAAGGATTATTAGGCCATACATCTCTTACCACATAGGTCTGCAGAAGCAATATATTCAAAAGTACATTATTGCTAAATAGCTTTCATCTCTCTGGACCAGAAGTAATTAGGCCCTCACCCACTTTTTAGGCTTACACTTTCACACTGAAGAAGAAAACCTCACAAAAATTTAAGTAAAAGAAAATACAGACTTTTTTTACAAAAGAAAAGGATGTGGGGGAACTACAAGAGTAAGTTCAGTAGACCTAGGGCAGCAGTGAGTAATACAGTGATATTATATGGTTTATATAATCCATTGTTCTTGAATTCCTTAAAATAATAATTATGATCTATAATACATCTATAGAACTTTTCATCTTTGAAATATGCTAATTAATCCTCAGTACAATAATAGGTATAATTCAAAACAGAAGATGAGCTCAATTTTTTGATACCTTGTTTGAAATTATGATAGGGTTTTTGGAAGATAACGGGATTAGATTGGTAAGAGATGTGATGTTTGAAATTTGTCACTGATATAAATATGATAGTGGAAAAATATGAGAGAAAAATCAGTTTGTGAGGGAATACTAGAAGAAAGAGAAGCAAGTGGATATCAGCATGCCTGTGTGGGAAAGAGAAGCAGATGGCCTACAGAAGCACAGAATTGTTAAGATCCCTACCTATGGAAATCATCTGGTCCAATCCCTCTCCCTCAAGCAGGGCCACCTACAGCTGGTTGCTCAGGACCATCTCAAGGTGGCTTTTGAATATCTCTGAGGATGGAGACTCCATCACCTCTCTGGGCAACCTGTGCCAGTGCTCAGTCACCCTCAGAGTGTAAAAGGATGTCCTTACATTCAGGTGGAAGCTCACATATTTTAGTGTGTGCCCATTACCTCCTGTCCTATCATTAAGCACCACTGAAAGGAGACTGCCTCCACCTTCTTTACACTTTCACTTTGGATATTTGTACTCATTGATGATAACCGTCCTGAGCTTTGTCTTCTCCATGCTGAACAGTCCCAGTTTTCTCAGGCTTTCCTCATAGAAGAGATTCTCCAGTTCTATAACAGCCCTTCAATGGACTCTGTCCAGTAAGTCCATGTGTCTCTTGTACTGAGAAGCCTGGAGCTGGACACAGCACCCCTTGTGTGGCCTTACCAGTGCTGAGTAGAAGCAAAGAATTGTCTTCTTCCACATTCTTCCAATAGCTTGTCTAATACAGTCCAGGATATCTTTAGCCCTTCTTTGCCACGAGAGCACACTGCTGGCTCATGTTTAAATGAGTGTCTACCAGGAGCCCCCTCAGGGCCTTTTCTGGATAGCCGCTTTCCAGCTGCTCAGCCCCCAGCATGTACCAATGCATGGGGTTGTTCCTCCCAGTGGCAGGACTTGGCACTTCCCCTTGCTGATTTTCATGAGGCTCCTGTCAACCTGTTTCTCCAGCCTGTCTAGGTCACTCTGGATGGCAGCAGGACTCTGGTGTATCAGCCACTCCTCCCAGTTTTGTTATCACTGGCATCCTTGCTGAGGGTGCACTATGCCCCATCATCCACATCTTTAATGAAGATATTGAACAGGCTTGGGCCCAGTACTGGCCCCTGGGATAAAATGGAGATGTTAATTGAATTGATTAGAAACTGTAAAAACTGTGGGATTTGCCCTTTTTTGCTGTTGAAAGCAGCTGATAGGATCTGATAACCTTTACCTGGTCAAGACTATTTATGACCTTCTGTTCTTCCTCTGTTACCTTTTCATTTTTACCTTTTCCACATCCCTTATTCTCCTGCTTTTCCTGGCCTCTGTCATTCTGCCTACCTCAAGCTCATGCTTCATGGTTCTATGTGTGATTTGGCAGGTCATCAGTCAGCAAATAAATATTGATAAACAAAACAAAATGCCATATACGAGCCTAATATTGCTTTTGTACTGAAAATATTTTGTATTTTCAGATACAACTCGACCTCCAAAGAAAGATGAAGAAAACGGGAAAAATTACTACTTTGTATCACATGACCAAATGATGCAGGATATATCAAACAATGAATATTTGGAATATGGCAGCCATGAGGATGCAATGTATGGGACAAAACTGGAAACAATACGAAAGATCCATGAGCAGGGACTAATTGCAATACTTGATGTAGAACCTCAGGTAACTGTTGAGAAGTATATGAAAATGGCACTCGTCACAAATCAACCTTATTGAGATACATTTATTTTTATTGATTGCACAGTAGATAAGTAATGTATACAGCAATATGAAACAAAAATCCCTGGACCACCAAGGTATCAATTTGCAAAGTAGAATTCTGGTAATCATCTGGTTAGAAGAATAACACCAGAAACAAGTTAATACTTTAGCTTGGTATGCAAACACTGTAGCTTGAAAATCTACTTAGCATCTAACTTTTTACTTTATTAGCATCATGTCCAGTGAAATGTATCTAAAGAAGTGATTGTCATTGCCTGCTAGGAGTAATGTTTTAGATACTTCAAAAATTTCTCTTTGATGCTGTTATAGATGGTAATCTTGCTCCTGACTGACTCTTGGCTCCATATCACCATTGGGCATGGTCAGAAACATTTGTGGTTGATCACCGGTATTAATCCTGTTTGCACAGTGACCAGATCAGTGTTGTTACTTCATAAACTCCTTTCTGTGTTGTGCTATTAGACTTTTCAGAACAAGGCAGGAAGGAAAATCAGGCTTCAAAGAAACACTAACAGATTGTTCATTCCTCATATAAAATCTTCAGTGGAGAATGCTGATACGTTTCCTTTGTTACATCCATGTAGTCATGACTTTCAATTCACAGGGATGTGTTTGTATGTTTTGTTAAGTGGAGCAACATGAATATGGACAAATATGATGTTTATGTTATTCTATGATACTTCAGGAAATGGGAGGAAAGACAAATTAAAATTGTTACCAGTGTCAGATGTTTAAATTTGCTGCCTTCTTTCTTTTTTTGTGAATGGATTCAGTAACTTCAGATTCTTTAAGAATTTCATAACAGAAATAAGATACCTGACTAAATTATTTAGGGCAGTTCACATAATACGCTGGTGTGGTGCTGTTCTGAAAAATAAAATCCCATGTTTTAACAGGTCTCAGGGAGAGCAGCGTTTATACTTACTTGAAATGGAGCAGCTAATAAAAGCAAACTCTATTGATAAGCCTTTTCAACTTGCATTATTCAGAAATATCAGAATTCTCAGAAGCCATTTTAATCTTTCTTAAAATGTATTTACATTTGGTAATAACCACCTTTGGTACACTTCCTCTACCATGTGTATAGGAAACCTCTTTCTTAACTAGCTTCCTCATGCATCCATCTTAGCTCATTAAGACCAGCCTGTCTGTGGACTTATTCCTAGTTATCTTATACCACTTGCCTTTTTTCCCTTAGGTACTCTTAGTTATGTGAGTTTTATTGACTTTCATATATGGGATTTATCTCTCTGTTTCGAGGATGTTGGTATAGATAATATACATAGGTCAGTTTCAAGCAGCAGAGAGGAAAACCTCTTTAGCTTGGGAAAAGGATGGATTGTGGATTGTCTGTTTGTTTGCTTTTTTTTAAAGAAAACAAACTTTGGAAAATACAGGAAGTAGAAGGAGCAAAAGACTGGCCTTTAGCCTTACTTTATCTTGTCCATCCGAGTTCAGCTGACCTGTGTTTATTTCCTTTCCTGCACTTCAGTCTAGCTTGGATCTGTGCCAAAGTTTTACATGTAGCAGCACTGAGTGTCACTCAGTAAATTATGACTGAGTCAGCTTCTAATGATAATTCTTTTCTTTTGTATAGATTTGGTTCAGGGCATTGGTGCTGCATTTACTGCATTAGTGCTATGCTCACTTTTTAAAAACTTCAGTCACATCATATTTTTATTTGTTTCAGAGAATAATAATGAAGAAGAGTTGGTAGAGAAACTTAGAAAAAGTAGTAGAAAAATTATATTCTAATCAGTATTTATTCTAAAATACAGTTGGCTCTTTTCCCCATTTATGGCATAACTAAATTTTCTTACCTGTTAATCATTCAGTTTAAATGCAAATGGAATTCTTATTCTTTGAGACTCTATGGGAGGAGCCTCTCTGAAAATGCTAAAAGTTTTGTTGTCTTGAAAACTCACTTAAATTAAGGATAAATATACAGTTCAACCACCAAAAATGTAAAATAATGCAATAAGCTAAGTGTCTGCATTACGAAGGTCTTGATTCTTCTTCAGTTAAAAACAAATATCAGTGTTGGTAAATCATGATTTTATATCTTTTGATTGTACAACTAAACTTATTTCACATTAATTGTTGAGGGGTTCTTCTAAAGTATCTGATTTTTTTTTTATCCAGGCATTGAAGGTCCTGAGAACTGCAGAGTTTGCTCCTTTTGTTGTTTTTATTGCTGCACCTACGATTACCCCAGGCATTAATGAGGTATGGCGTATTGCAGTCTAATATCTTATCAGAGACAGAATTAAGGATGAGATTCAAATACGCAGATAAGCCTCTTTAATTGTTTCCTTGTCTGTAAATTGAGAGGCAGAAAGACAGTTGTTTGGCAGCATTATTAAGTTGATTGAGATATATTTATTGTTTAGTAACAGATTTTTCTAATTTGAAATTCAAACTTCAAGTTAAAGGATCCATACGATGTATTCTAAAAATACATATTCTTTTATTTCATTCCCTAGCCCAGAGACCTGCTTCCAAATCCTTCACAAATTATTAGCACATATTACTCAGTTCTGACTTGCAATGCTAGCACTAAATCACAGCTGGCCTGAACTGAAGAAATGGATGTGCGTGACTGTGCTTACATCCCACCTTTATCTTTAGCAGCAAACAGACGTGTGAGAAATAGGTTTATTAGTTTCAGAGACTGTTCTCTAAGAATTGGAAGCTTTGACTAAAGGGTTAATTGCTTCTAGAACAATGTTAAGTATTCATGGAGGTCCACATCCTGAATTTCTTATATTGTTTTTATAGAGTATCTACTCTGCAGATTACTACTGATACCAAAGATGTTATCAAGCAATTCTGGATTTAGAGCTCACAATAGGGCAAACAGTGTTTATATGAACGCTTTGTCTGCTCAGCCTTTTTTAAAACATGATATTAAGGTATTTAATCAATTGGATTTGACCATGAATCTGTTCCAAGTCTACTACATGTCTCCTTGATCATGCAAAAATAAACTCAGAATCCGTGTTTCTATAGAAATGTAATTATAATATCGTAAGCGTGAAACTGCAACATTACTGCAGAGGCTTGCAGGAAAATAAGGAACAAGACAAACACTAAATGCCAATACCCTGAATGATTATTAAAATAGTAAGTGGAGAGTGAAAAACATTGGCCTCGAGCTGCAATTTTACTGGCAGCTAAGGCATTCTACAAGTTCACTGTTGCTGAAGGGGCCAATTCTCTCCAACTTCCTTCTGCGACATGTACTGCCACTCTGCACTGGCCATGGCACATACCAGATCCGTTAGTGAGCTACTTCAGCTCTAAATTTGATTTTTTGTCAGTTTTGAAGCATCTCACAAAAGCTCTGACAAGCACCAATGCCAGAAAAAGCATTCATTGTGTTTTATGGACTCATACCCTAACTGGTAAATGTCATGAGCGTATAGATGAAGATATCTGAAGACATCACAATCTGCAATGCTACTGAAGTGATAGTTTGTCCAACTGCAGGTGTTGATGTATGCTGTAAATTAGTACAATCTTGAGAAAATACAAAAATTTTGTATTCTACACTGACTTTGCCTTTGTGCAAGCAAATGGCATGACAGCAGTTAAAAAAAATAACTGTTCTTAAGAAAAATAACTGTTCTTAGGATGTGTCAGGCAAGCATTGTGCTTATAGCAGTGTTCAGGCAGCCAGGTACCCTGCGGAATTATCTGATTGCCTGGGTTTGTTGCCTCCATTCCTGTGTCTCAGCTCCCACATAGTATTACTTGCCCTCACTCATCTGCCAGTAGTACTTAACTTTAATCTTCCAGTTGTAGGATATAATACAGAGATAATTTGGGGCAGTTCATACAGGGCAGAAAATGTTTTCTGTGGTACGCTGGGAAGAGGACAGAAATGTACCTTTTATAGTAGTGGTGGGGAACTACTTCATGCCAAAGAAATATTAGTAGAAGTATTATGTTCTAAATATTTGCATTCATGCTGTAAGACTGTGTCTTTATTTTAAGCTTTTGTGACTAAAGTCTCTTCAAACAGGGTTTCATTCAGGCACATGAATTGCTGAACTGAGGCCATGCTTATAAAGCATGCTAATTTATGGATCAATTAAGGAAAGGGAGGGGCAGGAAATCATAATAGCAACAGACCCTACCCACATACAGGATCCTATTTTCCAAGGTTTACTGGCCTGCATGAAGGAGATATGCAAACTGTGTCTGTGTGTGAGCAGCCTGCAAGGCAGCAAAGGCAGAGAGTGTGTTCCATATTTCCCATTCATGTTTCCTTTTTGAAGAGGTTCATTTGCATAATTTGTATCCCTTTCTGTTTATCCTCTTATCCTGCTGTGTTTATTTTACTTATGCTTTTTGAGAACACTTCTGTAAATGACTATCCTTTTTCCCCCTTTATGTTTTCTTAAATATCATCTTTGCTTTTCTTTTCGTTTTCCCGCACTCGTACTAATTGTACATAGCTGCCAAAATGGTGCAGAAAATTGCCTGTAAGTACCAGCTAGGGGCGGACAAGGTAGTCGTGGTTATTTCAGTAGTTTTAGAATGTAGATATGCTTGTTCCCATTAAACGTTACTTTTGCCATTGGAATAAAAAATTAATGTAATGATGACTTCAGATACCTGCAGTAAAATCATCTACTAGTGAAAAAGAAACTAGAGCATAAAATTTCTGCTCTTACAGCTGTAGATCTGAACTTTGTGGTAAAATCAGTGCAGAGGCCTGATCTTAAAAGTATCTCTCTTGAGACACTTTAGGCTGTCTCAGACCACACAAAGTATCTCAGTATTCAAGGACCACACAGCAAGAGGTAGGAGACAAAGTATTATGCTTTCTAACAGAATACAGCAGTGCACTATGAGCAATTCCGCAAAGCCCAAAACAATAAAAACCATATAGGAAATCTCCCAGAGTGTAACCACCTGTCTATCACAAAGAAAGCTTAAATCAGATTATTTCTGTGCTAAAACAGAGAGAAGAGAGGATATCAGGAAACAATGGAGTAGTTCCTCTTTCCTCCAGCAGTTTTCTACCTCACACTGCCCAGGCAGCAACAAATAGGAGTTGACAGGCTCCACTTTTTTGATCTAAATCTTTATTAAGCCATGTGTAAATCTTTATTGAGCCAAATTCTTATGAAATTTAGCTATGCATTCTCCCTTCCTACTGCCAAGGAATAAAAGTATATTTTCTCAAGAACTGTGCAGTCCACCAGCTGTTTAAATTGAGGAGAATTTCTTTGTGTTGAAGCAAAATTGGCAAAGGCTTGATGGTGTGTTTATGCATTCTTCACAGCCTTAGAAGGGAATATTAGTAATTTGTTAGGCTGTACTTTGACTGTCACAAGTGGTAGCTATTGGCCTATGTACTTTAAAGGCAAAAAAAAAAAAAAGAAACCCAGCCCTCAGTTACTAAAGGTACTACTTGTGGCCATTATGTACAGGGGAGAGATTTCATGAATAAAAGCCATGTTTCACTGCTTTCTGTCCCACCTACGGTGGAGGAGAGAAGATTAGCCTGTTAGATGAGAGCTGAGGAAAGAAGAAAAGACAGAGATGTTCTGCTCACAAATGTGGAATTAATGAAGTTGTGGCCACTCGTTTGTCTGCAGCTGGCTGAACATTTCAATTTATACCTTTCTTGACACTATTGAGAGCACAAATGATGGAGAATATTCTTCTTGGAGAATAATCTGAAGTGTTCACTATTCAAAATTTAATTCAGAATTTTTAAAGAAATTGAGAGGATCTTACTACAGCAAAAACTTTGAGGAAGTGTTAACTTCAAAGATGCATTTAAGACTTACACAGAGGAAACAGCAAAGTCTGATGTGGTTTTGAATGTACAAATAGATACAAAACACAAACACAGATGAAATTTGGTCACAGAATAGAACAAAAATCAAGAACTGTAATCTCTTTTTGCAAAACTTGAGAAAGTTTGAACCTATTTGAAAACTGCTGCAATGGCCTTTCTCAAACTTACTACTGCCCCTAAAAGCTTATGAAAGAAGTAATGTTTTACATTTCGAACAGATTAGGAAATTTAGATATTCCAAAATACAGTAAAGTTAATCTAGGAGAATCTAAGAAAAATACTAAAAATCAATTTTTTAAACAGTTTTGTGACATCTGTATGTACAACCTAAAAAGTAGTATTCAGTCTTCTTTATATACCAGTTAAGGTTTTTTTAAAGTAAGATCACTATAAATTTTTAAGATTTTTATTGTCAGTCACAGTAAGATAGATGCTTTACTGAGAAAAGTTCATTCTCATACTTGTATGTAAAGATGACACAGGAAATCTGAATAGCATTTTAAACAGCTACATAGGACTTAACAGTTCTGAGGTTTCATGGGGAGTTTTCAGGTACTGTTAGCCTTGTGCCATGAGACTGAAATTCTTCTATAGGTGCAATATGATTTTGTTAATACTGGCTTTAAACATAAAATAAGTCTTAGCTAGATGTATTTAAAGCACTGGAAATATTCTGTTTGACAAGCATGGTTTCATTTTCTTTGTATGTTAATTTAAGCAGAAAAGTTTAGATCCTCTGCTGATATAAATTGATGTCTCTTTTGTAGTCCATGAGAAGTTGGCAATGTACCTAACTAGGTTTTTGGCTTAATGACACTAAGCCATATGAAACACTCCACAAAAATATTTAATATTAGTATTGATACATATTGTCCAATTTCTTAATAGAAGATACTATATTTCCATGCACTAGTATCGCTGGCAATGCATAATGGTCCATATAAGGAGCATCCCTTGTACAGAGTGCATGTGAGGAGTATTTGTCTAACCTGGAATGAAATTTATAGTGATTATCATGTGAAGGAGACATATCCTCCCTCCCCCCATTTGAGGCTGCAGCTTCTGGAGGGAAGCAGAACTGTAACTTTAGTACAGAACTTCTCCAGAAGTGGCTGGTTTCATCGCTATAGGGAAGGAGAACTGTCTCAATGCAGGTTATTCCCTTTAGAGGACCTGAAAGCCACTGTTCCACAGCTACTTGTCACTATAGTTACAAATACTTGGAAGCTAAAACAGAAAAAAAGGGGAGGAGGGGAATCTCTTATTAGATGGATTAAAGTCTGTTCCCAGAGTAATTTCTTGTGAAACAGCTATAGCCACTGTGTCTGTACCTCCTGCAGCCTAAAACTCTCTTATAATGAAGTATATCCAATTCACTGATCAAGTAGGATGACCCTAAAGATACTACAGAGCAGCAGGAGTTTATACTGTTCATATATAATTTTTTTCCCGTATCCACCCCAAACCTATGGGATGGAATGGACTTGGTCACTTCCCTGTGGCTATTTCAAGGTTCATGAAAGCAGCAAATTTTTTTTTTTCTTCTGGTTGTTTTTTGTTGTTTGTTTTTCTAAGGGAATTTGCAGGAAGAAAATCCAAACTTATAATTGCTGCAGAGCATTAGAAAGAAGCTATTTGCAACCCTGATCTCTCAGAAAGGCAGACCTCACTAACAAAGCCCATCATCACTGTAGCATTGCTGGCTGCATGGAGTCCAGCAGCACACCCATAAAGCAGGATGCACTTGTTTTTGTAAGGACATTGACACTGAGCCATGGAGAGCACCTGCTGTACCTGCCCTTCTTGAGCATGGGCTATGTGGTTTGTTCCTCATGATCTCACACTAGGAGATGCTGGGAATGGCATGCTCTGAAATAGGAACCACAAAGTAACATGGGTTGAAAACTTCCTTATCAGAAAACTATTAAGGGAAGTAGGCCCAGAAGACTGATGCTGAACAGAAAACACTACCAAAATCAGGAACAGCTGATACCTGACAATATACCTCCCCTGCTTCTTGTGTTCTTACCTGGACATAGGCCAAATTTGTGCTCATACTTATGCACTTCATACATTTTATTCATATACAGTCTCTGTTGCTCATGTCTGTGCTGCTTTCCTAAGCTTCCATCCTCTACCTTCCTTTGTTAACACTAGACTTGTGTTTTGTCTCAATATGAATATCTGAGTGCTGTTTGAGTGTCAGCTTCAAGAGAGAAATTGTGCCATTTCTCCCGTGCAATTTCCATAGATTGAGGTGGGAGATCTAAACCACCTAGACCTCCCTAAGTCTTTTTTGCCTGTTTCCTTGTCTGTAAGTAACAGTTAGAAAGCTTGTTTAGAAGCGTACAAAAGGATCCAACTTCTCTCTCCCATTTTCTTTTCCGACCACCAAACAGGATGAATCTCTTCAGCGCCTGCAGAAGGAGTCTGAAATCTTACAGAGAACATATGCACACTACTTTGACCTAACAATTATCAACAATGAAATTGATGAAACTATCAGGCACCTGGAGGAAGCCATCGAGCTTGTGTGTACAGCCTCACAGTGGGTCCCAGTCTCCTGGGTCTACTAGACCAGTCATGAGAGAATTGAAAAGAAAAAAATCTGTCATTACTGGGAACCACCTCATACACGGAAAACCTCTTCGTTATTGACCTTGTGTCAACAGGTCTTGGCCCCTAGAGACTACCTAGATGTAGTGTGACCTAAAATATAATTATTGTCATGTCCGAATAGATAGGAGGAGGGGGGAAAAAAATCAAACACTAATTTAAAGAGACAGTATCTTTTTTTTAATCATTTCTCCTAAACTTTAATAAAATGTATCTTTAAATATGTGTATTATTCAGTCCTTTGGAATGTTATATTTTTGGAAATCATAGCTTTTTATTTCAAGGGCCCCTAAAAACTGCACAAAATAGATGCTGCTTTCTATAATCTATTTTAATAGTAATAATAATATGATTCTGTTACCTTAACTTGGGGGTGGAACACTACATTCTTTTTAGAGTCTGATTTTATGGATTGGAATACTTTGCTTTCCTTTTATTTATTTGAAGTAATTAGTCTAGTGGTTACAAAACAAATTCATAAATTTTAAAGGCCTTTTTTCGCCCTTTTTTTTTTCTAGGATAGCATTTTTAAGTACTTTTGTGTAACATCCAGATATTGTGATACTGTCTCTTTGAAGAACTCTGTAAAACTTTTAGAAATCTGAAATTGGGTCTTGACTCTTAATGCATGTGGACAGTTGCAAGCGTTCATGCCGTTGGTGTATCTGTGTTGATAAAACCTGTAATCTACAGCAAAGTACATTCCGTTCATGGGAACACGTACCCAAGGGAATAAAGTAAAATATTATTCTGACTAAGTTGTAAACCTATGCACATCCCTTGCATTTTGGGCAACTTTATAAAAAAAAAAGAAAAAAAAACAAAACTGATTTTTATTAATAATAATCATGTAGTGAAATGTGTTTGTAATTTTGTCTCAATTTAATTTGTTGTAAGGTGGGAGGGGGCAATTACTGGTTTCACCATTTCAGATCCGTGTTGTCTGAGAGTATTAACGTTTTAATTAAGTTTAAGCAAAGAAATGCTGATTTTTAATATGTATGTAATTGTTTAAAAATGCACACATTTTAAAAGAAAATACTGTGCAATGAAGAAACCAGTTTAGGCATTGCGATAAACTGACTATTCCAAAAGACTCATCTACAACAGCCCTGTAAATTCCTTTAAAAATGGTAATTGACTCTACAGTCTGACCAATTTTTTTTTTATTTTAAATATACTTCCTTTTATGTGTTCAACAATTAAATGCTTTTGGGTCCTTCATTTCATTGCAGGGAGTTTCAAGAACAAGTCAGCGGCTCATGCAGCAAGCAAAGGTTTCTTACAGTCTATTAAGGGAAGGCCCTTGGAAGGGCACAGCCTGTAGTGTGGTCCAGGGGCTCTGCTCCACCTGTACAACCACAAGTTAAACCAATTTAGAATTAAGAGCAGAGCTAAGTAAGAAAATTTAACTACTTGCTGACCTGGTGTTTTGTTTCCCTTCTTCATGCTCTTACTGGCCCAGGTGCTTTGCATTTTTTTTCTGAAAATGGCTACCAGAAGCAAGCATTGCCACCTCTTTTTAGGTGTCAGAAATGCAGTGTTCCTTAAAACAATTTATCTTCAAAGCTTGGTTGCTGTGCTGTTGTGTAGTATGAAGTTTAGAGTTTATATTAAAATGATACAGTGTTTTCAAAGGATTTATCCTCAGAGGTGAACTGTCAGCTGTAATTGACCTGTGCACTGTTCCAGTTGTTTGGCACTGCTGCACATGTAATCAGAAAAAGTTCTCACAGTTGAACCTTTATCATAGGGGTAATTATCTGAAGCTGAACATGAGTTGGCAGTGTGCGCTCATAGCCCAGAAAGCCAACCATGTCCTGGGCTGCATCAAAAGGGGCATGACCAGAGGGTTAAAGGAGGTGATCCTGTCCCTCTGCTCTCATGAGACCCCACATGAAATACTGCGTACAGTTCTGGTGTCCTCAGCATAAGAAGGGCATGGAGCTGTTGGAGCAAGTCCACAAGAGAGCCACAAGGATGATGAGGCAACTGGAGCACCTCCCATATGAAGACAGGCTGAGAAAGTTGGGGCTGTTCAGCCTGGAGAAGAGAAGGCTGTGTGGAGATCTCAGCAGCCTTCCAGGTATCTGAAGGGGGCCTGTAAGGATGCTGGGGAGGGACTCTTCATTAGGGACTGTAGTGACAGGACAAGGAGCAGTGGGTTTAAACTTGAAGAAGGGAAGTTTAGATTGGATATAAGGAAGAAGCTATTTACTGTGAGTATGGTGAGCCACAGGTTGCCCAAAGAAGTTGTGAATGCTCCATCCCTGTCAGTGTTCAAGGCCAGGTTGGACAGAGCCTTGGGTGACATGGTTTAGTGTGAGGTGTCCCTGCCCATGGCGGGGGGGTTGGAACTAGATGATTTTAAGGTCCTTTCCAACCCAAACCATTCTATGATTCTATCATCATACAGTGCATGGGTTGCTAATCTTCTACTTACTCCTACTGCAGGTGGGCCAATCAAATCTCTGTTCTTGTAAAATCCTTAAGCAAAGTCTAGGTCCAGCTAGGCCTCCTAGCCAGCCAGGTCAGGCAAGGTGTTTGTCTTGTGCAGCACTCACAGGTCAGCTTGCAGCCTGCAGCACAGAAGGGAAGTTGGTCCATCACTTTACCTCACCTGACTGCATCCCAAAGCAAATACAGTAACTTGTTTCTTGAGCTTGTGGTTTGTGAAGTGCTGGAAACTAATTGATGAGAAACAATCTGTGTGAGCCTTGTGTAAGCAAGCCAGGGTGTAAGAGGGAACCTATTGGAGTAATGATAGCTGCTCGTGTATTCTGAATTTAGCCCCTGAAAAAGGGGGTAGGTGCAAACTGAACTGTTTAGTGAGTAAGAGATAATTTTTCAAGTAGCTGTGTCGTCTCATTCTAGTCCTGGGTGTACCATAGCAGGTGTTCCTGTAGATCAGCTGTTGCAATAGTAGTATCACATGCTATCTGAGCTCATCGAAGCGACAGATTCATTCACTCTCAAAACTACCTCTTTTCCCAATAAAGCACAAAGGTGGGACAACCTACTACTGAAAATCAAGCAGTGGAGTGTTTCTGATGTTAGAAATACAAATTTCTTCTCTGGTAAGCATTGGTATATGACTTAAGTGACACATTCTTCTTCTGAAATGTTTATGACATTAAACAGGTACATAATTTTGATAATTTGGGTATAGTCTGCCATAAATGTTTTGACTACATACTTTTGACTCTGTTAAAGTGAATTTCTTGGAGTTTCTGTGTACCCATCCTATAAGAAAGAAAACTCATAATTTCCATGAGGGTGCTTCTGCCTTATGTATATGACAATAAGCAGTGATTCAATATAACTAATACACTTATCTTAAGTGGAGCTACCATTCAGTTAATATTACACAGTAGAAAGACTAACTTGGAGAGCTCTGTTTCTTTGATTCCTATATATAGCCTTTTATCAAGGGACAAAAGCGGTAAAAGTACATCAGTTACCATACTGTCCTGCCTCCCCTTTACCATAGACTCTTCCTTGTGAGAACCTTCAGTAGCAAAAGACTAACTTGGAACGCCCCCTAGGCTTTAAGTACAGCTGAACCAGACAGCCCTGTGAGTTCTGTGAACTGGTTTCAGCACAGTCCCAGCAAGCACAGAGCAAGCCCAGGGACTCCTCAATCTGCCCAATGCACACCTTCTCTCCCTCCTGCCTTGCCCTGTTATTTGTGTGGTATGTAGAGGGCAAAAGGCTGCCATAAATTTAGCTAGAAGCTTCCCTTGTATAGGGAAGACTGATGCAGGTGCAGAGCTAATGTTACGATATTTCTACTTTTTTCCAATCCCCAAATGGAGAAGCATTCTCCTAGTGTTGTAAATATCACTGCATAATTTAGTGCATCTCCTGGATGTCTCTAAATTCATGCTGAATTTGACCTCAGAAGCAGCCCTGGGATTTGGAAGAAACAAATATTTCTGTTTGCCCCTTTTATACTTTATTTTTGTACAGGGGTTCACAGATTTGTAAAGAAAACTTGGTCTTATCAGTATGCTGCCTCTCAGTCTGACTGATGCCTGTGATTTCGAGGTGTTAAAGTTAGTCCAATAAATGTTCATCAACCTCTGCTTCCATTTACTTAATAAAAGTACACTAGGTTATTCAATGTCTCAGAGTGGTAAGATTATTGTATGGAAATGGTAACCTAGTTTAGACAGTCCTGGACACTGTCATGCAACTATTTAAAATCAGAGGGACATTTTTAAACTCTTCACCAAAACTGAGTTCTTCAGTATGTTTTAGCATTGGTTATCTTTTTATTTGATCTGGGTCAAGAAAGATGCTGTGCCACTAGCCTCTAAGTGAAAATATTGCTACCTACTACTGAAACTTCGTTAGTAAGGTTACTCAGTTGATTTTTAAATGGCAACATAGAAGAGATGTTACAGCATGAGCAGCATTGAACTGGAGTGTATACTTCAAGAACTTGATACCAGAGCTGTTAGGGAAAATTAATGCACAGGTTAACTTCAGTATTTGTTCTGTTTTTATTCTTTTCTCTAAAGAAATTATTTATTATTTAAACAAATACTTGGAAATACTGCCAAATTTCGTGGGTTTTTTGTAAATCTAGATTGAAATACAAGATGCAGTTCAGGGCCCATTCTCTTTCACTGCAATTAGTTCTCAACATCTTTAATGAAAGCAGTTAGAACTCAATTTTGGGCTTTAAAATACTTGTAGAAGAGGAATTGTGAAAACTAAAGGCAAAGTACATTTCTTGACTGACTCGAGTAAGAGTCATCTGTTTTTGTAAGTTAATCAACAGAGTATGATCTAAAGCAGACACCACAAATCTGCTTTCTCTTTGTAAAGCACATTCATTTTCTTAATAAGCCTGTCTCTCAGACTAGCTTCTTCACTACTTTTAATGAGCTAAGAAATGCCCATAACTCTGACCAAGGAGACTGCTGCACTATATGTCATATAGTCACATTCCTGCACAACAGGAAATACATCATAGACAAACAGGGCAGAAGTAACTTATCATCAGTGAGTGTGCCTTGTGTGCATACCAGGATTTTCTACTTGTTGATACACATAGTTAGTGCAGGTACAGTAATTTTTACTTTCTCCCCCATAAGTGATTTTTAGCAGTTATCCAATCCAGTGAAAGCTAGACTGAAGCAAATACAGAATCTTTTTGAATTCTTATGATTCAGCCTCAGAGTTAAAAGCTTTTAAAGCCTCCTTCCCAGACCTGTACAATACATAAATAATTCTTACCTTAAGTATGGGAAATATGTTTCCCATACCTGTAATCCAATTAAGATTTTAGGCACTTAGAAAGTTAATTGCTTTTCATGTAGACTTAACACCTTTCTAAGAAAAAAAACAAAGGGGAGAGAGGATGTATATACACATTCAGGCTTTCTGCTGTATCTCTTCTTAGCAACTGCCAGGGGAAAATCACTAACAAGCAAACTGAATCTGCCCACCTCTCTACCATGTGTTTTATGATTAATGTGTAACTTGAGCCTGGTTTTGTGTTGTGGAAGAGAACTGAACTAGTAGCACATTCCACACTTTGTCCTTGCAAGAGTTCATGTTAGTATTAGCAAAGTAATTCCAAATTTTCCCTGATCAGTAGCTAATTTTTCTATCTGCATAAAATTACCCAAGGGGAAGGGAGGAATTTGGTTGTTGTAACTCATGAAACTGAAACATGAGTATTTTTCTCCATTGCCTGCCATCCAAATGGAGACTTCTTCAGTGTTTTTCACTAGATGATAACCATCTAGTTATCTAGTAGGTGCACCCACTTGGAAGGACATCCGTGATGTGAGCCCCTGGTAGGCACCACACCTCCCTTGAGACTGGGTCAGACTGACAGATGGGTGCCTCTGTGCCCTTTAAAGTAGGTGCACCCACCGCTATGACCCACTGTTTTTTCCTGGAGGCACCAGTACTGATCCTCTTTACTGGTGCATCAGCAGGATGTTAATTTGGTGTGGTGTTTCCTCGTTAGCTTTCTGCAGCAGTGTGAAGCAGTTCTGGATGGGGACACTGGATTTCAGAGGAAGCCTCTTGCTTTTAATTGTCCTCTTTTTTTTTTTTTTCTTTTTTTTCTTTTCTATTACTAGGTCCCAGCTTCCTGGATTAATGTCCTCCTTCTTTCCTGTATGTGCTGTGATGGACGCTTGAGGCCCCTGCACAGTTCATCAGGCCTGGAACAAGCAGCCCAGCTCC